AACCGTACTGGGCCGAATTTTCTCATCACTCCTTTAAGCAACAGTCTTGTGCAAGATGGACCGACTTGGGTGTGACATGTCTGTCGTCAGCCTATCGCAGTGGCGGCGCCGTATGCCCCACTGAGCATTGAATCGGGGGATAGGACTCAGGAGTTGGAGTTTGAGGTGGCCGGCGCCAGGGCCTCAATGCTCGATGCCGCATGGTTGATGGTGATGCTCGCTAGCACTGGGCTGGCCGTTTCGCTCAGCCATAGCTCGTTTGATGGCATGGTATCGCAATGCTAGCCCCTCATGTTGTAAGCAGTATATATCTTGCCCATGGGTCCTGCTCCTCAACGGATCAAATGCTCCCGTTGCCCAGCTTGAGGACAGTCGTGTACGTCAGTTCCTCGACGCAGATTTTACTGGTATCCATCACTGACAGGGGCATAGTTAACTTACATCCAGTTTTTGGCTGCTGGTGGGACTCGCAATCGGAATCGCAAAACTCGTTACGTCACCGGGGTGAATATACCGGACCTCGCAAGCAGGTTCTCTTGACCTTTTGCATGCCCAGCGGACAAGACTTCTGGGGGAGTTGACCCGGCCAACACGGCCAACACGGCCATCAAACACCAGACGCCGGAGCTTAAGCAGGAGCCAGCTCTGCCCAGCTGAGGAGCTCCTTCCGTTCTCATCAAGTGGTTGGTCCTGGACTCCTGGGACGCCTGGGTGTTCAAGCGCTTCACACCAGTTGACCATTCCTCCCCTTTCGGCAGTGGCACCTGCCAAGGCTTGTCAATCAACGGCTTTGTTCCAACAGCTGTACCCACATGTTCTGCTACTCCGGCCACCAAGCTGCAACCCCGCCTGCCTCAAGTCCTTCGGTCTGGTGTCCTTGATCTAGATCCAGCTTGACTGCCCCAATCCGCTGTCCGCTTCATGTCTTGACCAAGTGAACGGAATCCAGCCGAACCCAGCCAGGATTCGATGCATCTTGCGCCGTGAAACATATCTCGCGGCCACCCCGACACATTTGCAAGGCCTTCAACGAGCTTCTTGGTGGAGTCTGCGTGCACGCTTTTCATCTCCATCATCTTGCTGCAGCCAGCAATTCAACTTTCTCTTCCCACCTCCAGCCAGACTCCTTTTGCGCCTGTCAACGTCGCGCAACTCTTTTCCATATGCGCCGGTAATAAACAGCTACCCACAAGCTGGGCTAAATCGCCGTTTTAGTCTCCCGCCTCGATTCAACAGCCCTCTCGTGGCTGTCCCTTGCTCTTCTTGGCCACATTGCATCATAAAAGCGCAACGTCCCCGGGACGCCGGACCTTATCCAACCATGACCGTCTTCGTCTGTTCGCTGTTCCTCCCAAAGACGATACAATTCAACCTGCCTGGCACGCCTCCTCGAAGAAACACCTTGCAGCGCCGGTTGAAGACGACAATCCCGACGCCGCAACTGCCCACGGCGCCCGTCGTCGAGACACAACCAAGTCTTTTTAGTCCGCGACCCGTCATCACCCCGCCTCGCACTCCTACCGGTGAGACAGAGTCGCCGGACCCTTTCGCGAACGAAGATGGCCTACGTATCCAGTTTCCACACGAGCTTGGGTCTCCCACGGACGAGGTGGCATCGCGCTGGGGAACTCGCGCGAACCAGCCCTTGTCCCGAGCCAACTCACCCCCTCCAGCCGAAATCTTTGAGCGAGACCGGACCTTGGAGAAGGCTCGTGAGCTTGGCCGTCGAGGCTTGCTACAACCCAAGACACATATGCGCAGTGACAGTCACGACCGCGTATTTTCCTCAGCTCCGTGGAGGGTTGTGGATGCCGACCAGGGCAACGGCGGACTGCGCAATGCTGCAGAAGCCGCAGCTCGGGATGGAAAACTCGGCGATTACACTTGGGTAGGAACCTTGGGAATGCCCACCGATGCTCTTGAGGGTACGCAGCAAAAGTTGGATATCGAAGATACTCTGGCAAACGAATACGATATGATGACTGTATTCTGCTCTGACAAAGACTTTGACGGGCATTACAGTCATTTTTGCAAGCAAATATTGTGGCCAGTCTTCCACTACCAGATCCCAGACAACCCCAAGAGCAAGGCTTACGAGGACCATTCTTGGAAGTACTATGTCAACGTCAATCAAGCTTTCGCGGATAAGATTGTGCAGAACTGGAAGCGAGACGACGTCATTTGGGTACACGACTATCATTTGCTATTGGTCCCCGGCATGGTACGAAAGAAACTTCCCGATGCGAAGATTGGCTTTTTTCTCCATGTTGCCTTTCCATCCTCCGAAGTGTTCCGCTGCCTCGCCGTTCGCAGGGAGCTTCTAGAGGGCATGCTCGGAGCCAATCTCGTTGGATTCCAGATCCAGGAATACACCCGACACTTTTTGCAGACTTGCAGCAGAATACTCAGTGTTGAAGCCACTCCTGAAGGGGTTGAAATGGAAGATCGATTTGTCGACGTTGTCAACACTGCGATAGGGATTGACCCGATTAGTCTGGATAAGAATCGCGGCGAGCGAGACGTGTTGCGATGGCTCAATATTCTGCAAGAGAGATACAAAGGCAAGAAGCTCATTGTAGCTCGCGACAAGCTGGACCATGTGCGCGGTGTACGCCAGAAGCTCCTGGCTTACGAGCTGTTCCTGAATAAGAACCCACAGTGGCGAGAGCATACTGTTCTAATCCAAGTCGCCCTGTCTTCCAGTCAAAATGACGACTTGGACGCTACGGTTTCGGACATTGTCACTCGCGTCAATTCTTCGTGGGCCAACCTGGCTTACCAGCCTGTGGTGTACCTCAAGCAGGATATCGACTACGCCCAGTACCTTGCGCTTCTTACCATTGCCGACGCGCTTATGATCACAAGTCAACGCGAAGGTATGAATTTGACGTCTCATGAGTACATCTTTTGCCAAGACGGCAAGATCTACCCAAACCGCAAGCACGGGTCTCTGATTCTCTCCGAATTTACGGGTACTTCATCTCTGTTTAGCAAAAGCGAGCTGTCCGTCAACCCCTGGGACTACCGCCAGTGTGCTGACGCCATCAAGCAAGCGCTTGAGATGGACGATGACGAGAAGACACGTCGGTGGGAGAATTTGCACGAGTCGGTTGCTCAACACACTGGCTCTCACTGGTTTGCGGAACTTCTTTCTCACCTCGATCGGGCCTACGAGGAACAGCATAAACGCGCTCAGACATCTGTGCCACGGCTTTCCATTCAGGACGTCTGCAAGAAGTACGAGGCGTCGAATCGTCGCCTCTTTATGCTTGACTACGAGGGGACGCTTGTCAGCTGGGGTCCCGTCAACCAGATCATCCCTGTCAGCCCACAGCGGACCCTCGATGTGCTGAGCGACTTGCTTTTTGACGAGCGGAACATTGTCTACGTAATGTCTGGTCGCCGGCCGGAAGAAGTTGACCGTGTGTTCCGACGGGTTCCTGGTCTTGGCCTCATTGCTGAGAATGGTTGCTTCATCAAGGATTGCGGCTCTGAGAAGTGGGTTGAGATGTCTGACAGCGCGCATATTGACAATTGGAAGACGTCAGTTAAGGATATTCTGCGATACTACCTCGAACGAACACCAGGTGCAGAAGTTGAGGAACGCCACTGCAGCGTGCTCTTTCACTATGACGGCGCCGAAGACCAGGAGGCTGCAGCCCGTCTCGCTGCTGACTGCGCTAGCCATGTCAACGATGCTTGCGAGTCGCAGCGGGTTCATGCCATTGTGCTGGATGGGACGATTGCTGTAGAACCGTTGGACTGGACTAAGAGCACCGCTGCCAACATGGTACTAGAGAAGCTGCTTACCAGCCAAGCTTTCTCGGAAGGCAAAGGCGAAAATATGAAGCCGGTCGACTTTCTCATGGTTGTCGGCGACGGTAGGGAGGATGAAAAGGTGTTCAAGTGGGCCAACAAACTCGGTAAACGACGCACAATCGACAATGTTGTCACCGTCAGCCTTGGTAATAGAAGCACGGAGGCGGCGGCTACATTGACACAAGGTGTGAGCGGTAAGTCGACAATGAGTTTTGCACGCCGCGGTTTGTATTTGCTAACTGTGTTCCTTGCTGCAGGTGTCCTAAGTTGTCTACAACGACTTGCCTCACTCTAATGACGACAACATGCGCAACTCTACTCAACATTGTTTTACTTTATAGATATGCAAGGCGTTTCGGATGATAGCAGAGAATTAAAGAGAGGAAGCTCATATCAGGTTGCTTACCTGACGAAAATGACGGTGTGGGAAAAGAAGGCTCCGGATGCGACATCTTTTTCAAAAGGCCCACATGATATGGCAAAAACGGATCGAGCCGGAAGAGGTCAAAAAAAAAAAAAAAGAAAAAGGGGGGGCGGGAGGCGGGAAGCAACATAAAGGTGTCCGGGAAGAGAATAAGACCTCAGGGTTGAGACGTCAGTCTCAGGACAGGGCAGTGGAAGCATGCAGAAGGCATATGGACGGGTGTAGCGGCTCTCTTACACATGAATTGCCTGTGTTTTGGACGGTTTGCCGTCTGGTACCATGGTCCAGCTTCCAGGCATTGATTGAATGGAGGAGAGGGTAAAGTGTCTGGCGGTTTCTTTTGTACATACATTGACTATGAACAACTTCTACTTGATGGCTACCTGTGAGGACAAGTGATGCGGAATACATCAGAAGTGAGACGTCAATATACGAGTTGGTGCCGCAGTGTTTCGATATTCGTGACGACGAGTTTGGTCGTTGCCACAAAAATTAATCCAATGGGACGCTGCTGACGCCCCGCAGTCCGACATCGGGCAGCATGACGGAAGCGTCCAGCGCCAGTTTCGACGAGTCAGACCATGATTACTCCGTAGCCTCCAAGCTGTCCAGATCCTCGCCTTGACATCCTTGGTTGTTCGTTTCAAGTCTCTACTTTGCAGTTTGTGTCGCCGTGGGATTTTGACGTTCGAGCCCAACACAAAGTCGTTCTTGGACCTGCATAGTTACCGTCGGACCGCAGAATCATCGAGTCACGATGGGTGCTTTTCCTCCCCCGCCCGTGAACACCGTTGACTGGAGCAATGTAGGCTTCAAGGTCCGCGAGGGTGAGTCCAAGGGTGATTCCAAAGCACCATGCCGTCGCCAGAGGCGCTCTCTGTTTTATCCCTGGTTCCCAATGCTCCCTTGTCCCCCCCGATTGCCCAGAGCTGCATGTTTTCGTTGGTACTGACCTCGTCCCAGTCAATGGCCACATCGAAGCCACGTACTCCAAAACGACGGGCAAATGGTCGCCCCTCCGCTTCGTGGCCGACCCCTTCATGCGCATCCACGGCATGGCGCCGGCCCTCAACTACGGCCAGCAAGCCTACGAGGGCCTCAAGGCCTTCCGCACGCCCGGCGACGAAGCCATCACCGTCTTCCGCCCAGACCGAAACGCCGCGCGCCTCCAGCACTCAGCCGAAGTAGCGTCCATGCCCGAGGTCCCCGTCGACGTCTTCCTGCAGGCGGTTCGCTCCGCCGTGGCCCTCAACGCCGGGTTCGTGCCTCCCCATGAGACGGGGGCTGCGCTGTACATTCGCCCCCAGCTGTACGGATCGAGCGCGCAGTTGGGGCTGGATCCGCCAGAGGAGTACACCTTTTGCGTCTTTGTCATCCCCACGGGCGTATACCACGGCACGCACCCGGTCAAGGCCCTCATCCTGGACGAGTTTGACCGCACGGCGCCCAACGGCACCGGCCACGCCAAGGTCGGCGGCAACTATGCGCCCGTCCTGAAATGGAGCGGCAAGGCGAAGCGGGAGGGCTTCGGCATCACGCTGCACCTCGACAGCGCCAAGCACGAGGAGATTGACGAGTTCAGCACCTCGGGCTTCATCGGCGCCGTGGCCAATTCGGACGACGACGTGACCCTCGTGGTCCCCGACTCCAAGTGCGTCATTGACAGCGTCACCAGCGACAGCGTCCAGCAGATTGCCAGGAGCTGGGGGTGGAAGGTGGAAAAGCGATCCGTCAAGTACGCCGAGCTCCCGCGCTTCAGCGAGGTCTTTGCCGCAGGAACGGCCGCCGCGCTGGTGCCCATCAGGAGCATCACGCGCCGCAAGGGCCCCGTCAGCGGCTCTCTGCCCGCCGGGCCGCGGGTCAGCTCGACGGCGGACGCGGACGTGGTGACGTATATCCCCGACGAGCAGGCCGACGCAGGTCCCATCTGCTTGAAGCTCCTGACGCATCTGCAGGCGATTCAGCTGGGCAAGGCGAAGGACGAGTTTGGCTGGCGGTGTATAGTCGGCGACAAGGATCTGGACGTGCAGGGCGCAGTGAAGGAGGCGACCGGAACAGCGACGCCGCAGACGGTTGATCAGATGGACTAGGTCGGCATGACATGGGATTATTAGGTAAAAGTGAGCAGTTTTTTTTTTTTTTTTTTGCGAATATAAATCACGGGTTCTGCATCAACGGACTGAATTGGTGACGGCAACCGCGGCTCCCCCATTTGAATGCGCCTTTGATACGGTGACTTGTCATTTTATGCAGATGCAGGAGATGTGGATAGTGTCAGGGTTGGCTTCTTCATGTCCGTGCAACGCGTGCTAAAGAAATGCCTCCATCTTGATCGTCACAGTTGCTCCCCCTCACCCTGAGCATGCAACAAGTTCTTTTGAGTGCAAAACTCTAAAAATATATACACGAGAACGGCGCTTTGCCAAACGTAGATGCCCATTTCACGTTCTCCCCATCCCATCATGAACACACAAGACTTGTTCCCCAGCCGGCACGGAATAAAAAAAAAGGCAACTCAGAAAAGACGATACTTGTCAATGGCGGCGGCAAAAGCATCGTCAATGGGCTTAATCAGGCTCTGGGCAATGCCCTGCAAGGCCCCGGGCACCTTGCTGACGACCTTGCTGCTGAAGTCGTCGGTGGCATCCTGCTCCAGCTCGAGGTTCAGCAGCACGACGGGGCTCAGGATGATGAGCTTGTCGAACTTGGGCTTTGTGTCGACAATGGTCTGCAGCGTGGCCTGGACCGTCTTGCTCAGGTCGGTGGTGGCGCCGGCGACGGCGAGGGCCTCCTCGGTGGACAGCATGGCCGACTGCTCGGCCGTCCTGGAGGCCGACCTGATCTGCTTCAGCAGCTGCGTCGACTTGACGGTGATGGGGAGCGCGCCGAGCAGGTCGCCCTTCCAGTTGCCGACGGTGGTGCCCAGGTCGGCCGTCTGCTGCTTGATCTGGCCCATGGCGTCGGTGATGGCCTTGCCATCGGCGATGGCGGTGGCCGCAAAGGCCATGATGCTGACGATGGGGGTGAGACGCATGGTGGGGGCAGGGAGGAAAAGCTAAAGCCCGGGGGCTCAAGGGGTCTGGTCAGTCAAGTGGGTACGATCTGGCGATGGAGTTGTTGGAGTCTTGGGACTCTTGGGGGAGCATGAGTGTTTGGAACGGGGGTAGGCAGCTTCCAGCCAACACGGTTCGAACTGGGCTGGCCAGAGTCTCTTTATAAATTTTGTCTGTTGCCGAGCGGCCGCTTGATGGTGTTCTGCCCATCTTCATCACCTCTGTACTCCGTCACCCCAAGCAGCAACCCCATGCAGCGACGCACCCAACCAACTACCTGGGTACCTAGGTAGTCAATACTATCATCAATAGTTCAATTGCCACACATCCCCGGTCGGGTTTCTCCCGGGAACATGGGTCTGAAATGGGAAAGGGCCCGTCCCCGCATGAAGATGGCGTGAACACTTGAATGTTCTAATGCGCGGAACTACCGTGTGTTGACTCCCCAGCGACAATGGCCTCGGCGTCTTCTTGATCGCGGCAGATTTAACCCTTGACCTCATCGTCACTGTAAACTGAGGTTGCATTGGCACTTGCGAGCACGGCTTCTCGAATATATCTAGTACACTTACTCTGAGACTATTCTCGCCAGCATCCATCTTGAGTTGGAAAAGACGCCCTGAGTCGACAAACACATGGAACAACACCATGCTCTCGGCTAGCGAAGCGCCCAGGCACATAAACAGACCCAATCGCAGATCTTGCCCGTAATGTGGATAGACTCGCCCTCAGAGCCGGGGGTCCCATCCAACTCCACGATTACGGGGGCTGGGGGGAATCCGGGGTAAGACTGTCAGCTGCAGCCTTTCATGTCCAAGCCGAGGAATCTGAGCGACGATTTTGCTTACAGCCCGTCTTCTTGCTACATGTGCTTGTGGAGGAGGAACGGGAGCGTGAAGAGACGTGCGGCCTCGTGGCTGAGGCACGCCTCATGTCGGTGTCAAGGACCGAGTCGAGAGCCATGTCGGGTGTAAGCTTGTGTGGGCGAATTTCGTCCGATCCACTGCTGAGAGCCTCTTGCTGCATCGGGGATGGTGCTTAGGAGTTGAATTGGCACGATGGGCTTGTCTTTCTTTGCTTGGCTTCTTTTTTTTTTTTTTTTTTGGTGCAGCTTTGCAGAATCACCATTGACGGTGTGGCAACACATGGATAAGAGGACCCGTGAGAGATTGGCAAAGTAGATCAAATCCAGCAGTTGACCCTATTTCCATTAGTCAATTACCAAGAGGAATCGGCGCTGATGAATAGTTTTCCGCGAGACATAGTCGAGTCATGAGGGTAACACGGCCGCAAACCACAACCCTCCAGCGGAAAACACCGTCACATACTGTTAAACATGTTTTGTCTATGCCAAGGGTGCTTTGAGCGTTCTGGGTAAAACATGCGAATCATCCTGGTAGTCTGTTCATGAATGAAACCCGTGGAGGACGGAAGCAACATTGCGACCTACAACACGACAGGGGTAATGCGTGCCCTAACAGCTGTGCTTGCCAGTCATCCTTGGCCCCTTGCGGAATATGTGTCAGGGCTATTGTCACAATTGCCTTTTGGCTGCTCGTGTACACACAGCTAAGTTGGCAGGAAGCATCATCCGACCACCCAATGCAGCAGCATGTGCCGTAGTCTATTCTGTGCCCAAGACATCTACTATCGACTGCTTGTTGAAAATATCACCAGGTGCTAAAACGGTCCTGCGGAAAATTCACCCCTTGTGCTGTCCACAAATACACAGCCAGCCGTCTTAACAAGGTGGCAGGCAGAGAAGCCCCAAGTCCTCCGGATAGTAAACGCAATACGTTGCCGGAGGACACACGCCGGCAAACTACATAAGAAAAAAAATCGTCAGCATAGACTCTCTGAGGAATGGTATAGTGCAAATACTCACGATCCACTTGCCCTGGGTGTCGCATGCCTCCCACCCCGAAGGCATACTGATGCATCTAAATGTCCCAGGGCTGCACTTGGCTCTCCCAAACACCTCGACAGGACCCCGACGGTCTAGACCTCCGGGCGCAGAGGTTGGCGCCAGTTTGGCGGAATCCTCGACGGTAAAGGCGGCAGTAGGCACACAAGATGTATACTTTGTAGACTTTGAGCTTGAAGATGTTTTGCTCGGGCTCACGCTTGGCGACGTGACAACTGTTGTGTCAGCCGAACTTGATACCGGTGTGGAGGAGCAACGTTTGCTCGACGTCTTTTCACCGGACGAGGGGGAGATGGTGGAAGGTTGTTGTTTACTGGAATGTAGTGACGGCTGGCCGGACAAAGAGATCACAACGGTTAACGTGCAACTGCCGCTGTTGACTGGTGACGTTGCTCCAGACGAGACCATGCTCGAGCTTGCTGACTTGGATGAGCTGGACGCACTTGAACTATCGGCTTTTGAAGAGCCTAGGTTAGAGCTAGCTGGTTTCGACGAGCTGTATCTTGATATGTGAGTACTTGAACTCTCCTGGTTTGACGAGCCTGAACTTGACACAGATTGACTTGAGCGTACAGGCTGCGAAGAATGGCCAGAAATTGACGAACTCGGAGCCAATGAAGTCAGTGCGCTAGAATACCCCAGTGTAAAAAAAGTTACAGCGATTAAGCTAACTGGTTTTGAGAATGTAGGGCTTAAAACTATTAGGCTAAAGCTGGTAGAGTTTAAAGTTAACCTTACTAATGTGAAAGAAGAAGGGAACGAGCTCGCTAGCGTAGAGAAGCTAGGAGGGTTCGAGCTTTTAATGTACTATGAGCTTCCTGGTACTAACGAGCTGTATCTTGATATGTGAGTACTTGAACTCTCCTGGTTTAACGAGCCTGAACTTGACATAGATTAACTTAAGCGTATAGGCTGCGAAGAATAGCTAGAAATTAACGAACTTAGAGCTAATAAAGTTAGTGCGCTAGAATACCCCAGTGTAAAAGAAGTTACAATGATTAAGCTAACTGGTTTTAAGATTATAAGGCTTAAAACTATTAGGCTAAAGCTAGTAGAGTTTAAAGTTAACCTTGCTAATGTGAAAGAAGAAGGGAACGAGCTCGCTAGCGTAGAGAAGCTAGGAGGGTTCGAGCTTTCGATGTACGATGAGCTTCCTGGTACTGACGAGCTAGATGGCATTGGTTGACGTGTGTTTTCAGACTGAGGCTTCGTGCTAAAGCTGGCAGTCTGCAAACAACCGTCACTAGAAACCGGACGCCTGGAACTACCTTGTTGTGACGTACCAGCACTAGATAGAGGGCGGCGAGAGCTCCCGTGCTCACCAGACTGGCTCGACGCAATCTCACTACTCGACACATATGTTACCACAGAGCCGGTCTTGAACGTCGAGCCACCTGAGCTTGCTGGTTTCCATGACCAGGTCGCATTCCCTTGACTAGGCACTATAGTCTGACTATATGACGGCACTGGTACCCAAGAAGTCGTTCTCATCTCCTCACGCGTCATTTCCTTGGAGAGCAGAGGTGTCGTCTCCGTATTCACCATACTGGACAGTCCATTCGGCAGACTTGGCGACTCGGACGGTGGCGGCGATGGTATGATTTCACTTCGACTCGCCGATTGCGAAACCGAGGAGAAATGTGCCTCGGACTGAGCCTGTGACGTGGCAAGTGTTGATTGTCCCGGTATCAGAGGAGCTACAGATGTTTAGGACGCAAATTGCCGTCGGTCGGTGGACAGCTAGAGCCGCCCGGATAAACCACAACGTCAGTAGCAGTAGCCACAGTAGACGTGACTGTTGCCAATGTGGAATGAGATGCTATGGCTGGATTTGAAATCTCCAACGGACAATAGCACACATCCCCGTCCTGGTACACAATCCCTTCCCACGGGGCATACTGCGTCTGCGTGGTAGTCACCGTGACTACATTTGGCCATTCCTTGGCCGTGGCCCCTATGGCCAGCCGAATGCCGAAGAAAAGTGCATCTCAACTCTGAAGAGACGACACAGTACCGGTAGCTTGACATACTGAGGCGCCCATGTACAATATCATCCGGTTCTTATCAACTTTTCATTATACTCCATGCAAAATTTCTTCGTCTCCCCTCCCCCGGCAGTAGATTGCCAAGAGTCTCTAAATGTGAATCGTACGGGGTAAGGAGCTTGTGAAGCTGGCCTTGGTATGGGTTATACAAAAAGGAGCGCGACAATGTTGACTTGAAATGCACATCCCGCATTTTGGTTCCAAGTCCGGCGAGATCCATACGACATATCCACACGGCACAGTTACAGCAAGATTTATGTAACCTCGGTATCTCAGAGACCCTCGCAAAGGATCGCTAGCTTCGGATCCTTCGGAGAAATATAGTTGAAGTTGATCTATTGCTTGAAACCTGCCTAATTTCATGTCGCTGTTGAAGTACGAATCTGGAATTCATACTCCTGAGCCCGCAGAGGGATCATTAAACAAAGATTAAAATAGTGGGGGTATATCGGAGAGTTTTTTTTTTATAATAGGTAACTGGATATCGTAAGGCTCAGTAAGCAAGCCACGTATCTTGAACGGTGTCTCGCTGCCAAGACAGGAAATCTAGTTTGCCCAGAGTCGTACTGCCTTGTCCTTACCTCCACTGGCAACACGCTTGCCATCTGGTGCCCAGTCTACTGCGTATACCTCATCATTATGACCGGGGAGGTCGACCGCCAGCTTGAAGGACGCCATTGACCAGACCTTGAGGGTTGTGTCCTTAGATGCTGTCACCAGCAAGCGGGAATCTGCAGAGAATGAGCACTGATAGACTGTAGCGACGTGTCCGCGCAGAGTGTTGATGAACTTGCCATCTCTGTGAAGCCTTGTTAGTTCTATACTGGCCCGTTGCTTTCAGATACACCTCATACCTTGCACTCCAAATCTTTGTATGGTTGTCCCAGCCTGTGCTAGCAATCAACGTGTTGTCGGGAGAAAACGTGACATGGTTGATTTGCTTCTGGTGGCCGACCATTCTGGCCACCGGCTTACTCCCTTGTGAAGGCTCCCACAAATACATTGTAAAATCATCACTGGCGGATACTAGGCGCTCAGATACTCGTCCTTGGATTCTCGCTGCCTTCTCGAACCGCTCTTTGGCTTTCGCCCGCTTCTCGTCCTCTGTGCTTGGCGTAGGCTGGTGGTCGAAATACCCCGTTCTCAAGGCAAAATCCGTCGAAAGCGCCAAATGGTTAATCCAATGAGCATGTGATGATAAGGTATGCACCAAGGTGCCCTTTGCCGCATCCCAGACTCGCACCATCTTGTCATGGCTTCCAGTGTATATGAGACCGGTCCCACCCCATCGAATGCAGCTGACCGAGCTTTTATGCCCAGAGAGCACATGCTCAGTCCTTCCCGTATTTACGACCCAAATTCTCACAGTCGTGTCTTTGCTCGCGCTTGCCAGCCGCGGCGTGCCATCTCTCCATAGGTGATAAGGCTCCCAAGCAATGTTGGTAATCCACTTGGCATGTCCAGTCAGAGGGCCTCCCACTGCTTTCCCTTTTGCCGGATCCCAAAGTCTGACAGACTTGTCCATACTTCCAGTAGCTAGCCGTTTGCCGTCAGGCGACCATGCGACACAGAGTACCCAATGTGTATGGCCGGAGAGTGTGTACTTTGGCGTTCCAGTCTCAGTATCCCATATTCTAGCAGTCTTGTCACCAGACCCCGTAGCCAGACGAGTATTTGTCTCTGGACTAAATTGAGCTGCCAGAATTGCTTCTCCGTGGCCTGGAATTCTATGTGACATGCGTGTGACAGCATGCACTTTGAAGACTGATTGGGGCTCGGCAGTGAGGGTCACAGTTGTCTCGAAAGGGTTCTCGATGCCATGGCTTTTTAAGAGCTGAAGCAAATCCTTTGGGTACTGGTCGATGATGATGTCGGAATCTGGAATATGGATTCGAAATCGATACGGCAAAAATTCTTCTCGTTCCTGGAACATGCCAAAGTCAGTACACGGTATGATTAAGTGCATCAGGGGCATGGAATCTTACCCTTGCCAATAAAGTGTTCAAAAGGAGTGACAGGTTCTTTTCTGAGGCATCTGCAAGAGGCACTTCAATCACGTCGCAGACCTGATTTCCGTCGCCGTCCAGAAACCGAGCCTTGAATGAGCCTTCCGGCCCGGCCATGGCTGCGTTAACATCCTGCTGCACTCTGGATCTTTCGAGGTCCTCACGCCTCTGCCTTTTTGATGGCGGAGGGACGACAGTCGCCATTTTGTACAATTTTGATGTCGCGACGTACTTCTGTTGCGATGCTCGCCAATTATTTTCCCCAGGCTGGCCATAATGAATTTCTGGTGATGGTTTGGCGGGGCGGCAAAATTCTGACAAAATTTAGGCGGTGAGGGCGGTTGGCACTGATGCAAGCGCGTCAACAACGGCATTGATGCAGCGGCGCGCCCCACCAAAAATTGCCACTGATGAGATAAGGCTGGCGAAGTTGCCATTTGGTAGCCAAATGTTGGTGCTCATGTGCCCTGTGGTCGGTAGGGTCTCATCCTCTTGGAGGGTTCGTGATATTGTGTTATCTCGACACTGTCCATTGCACTGGCAGGGTCTGTCAGTTGGAAATGTGGCCCCTGCATTAACGCATCTGAAGTGCGGTTGGGGCCTATGTGTACGAGGTCCTCGGTTAACGACAGTTCGGGCTCTGCTGGTAGATTGCTCGCCTGTTGATGCTGCTCATCTCGGGTCCTTGGGTGTCTTCGCGCACGGTGTTTATGCACAGAAAGAGTGTTCCTGCTGGCGTCGACCGCCCGATGACGCTGATGCTGAGTTTCTTGCCGTTTCTGCCTCTGCATATCTTCATTCTGGACGGCGTAGAGCGCTGCGATCCGCAGTTGCAGCTGTGCCAGGGCATTGAGACGGTCCCCTTGTGTCATCTTTCGGTAATCCGTCTTGAGGTGATGGAACGTGTCTCCATTCAGACGCAAAGTGCTGTCCGACACTCCCGCGACTCGAAGCGCTGCCAAAGTCTCGGGGTCTGGTCTTGGTCCAGCATGAACTTCTTTTCTCATGTTAGAGTTGGAATGGATTTAGAACCTGAGAAACAAAATATATTATTCACTGACGCACCGTCTTCATTGTCCGCATCGGTACCATCCTCTTCGCAAGCCTCTGGTATGCTGGGAGGTTCGGGTGTTCCGGCCTCGTGATTGTGTTCGTTGCAGAACACCGTCAGAACCCAGCCGCCAACAGATTTGCGATTCACGGCCTTTGCCTTCCACGGGCAGCCCGTCTTCTTGGTGTGCGTCTTGTGTTTGGTAGCTGTAGATTTGTACGGTCGTCCTCCGCGGTCGCACACCAGATCGCAGCGAACTATCTCGTTCCCGGCCACATCACCGCCGCCGATCTTATTACGATGGGATCTCGCCTTGACAATTTTGTAGCCTTCGCTTTCCATGCGCCTGTTGAGATCGAACATCAGGTCTTCATATGTATTGAAGATGCCCGAGTGAGGGACCGCAGCCGCCTCCAAAATCCCGAACATTGGGACGATACTTCTGAGCTGTGATTTGTGATGGTGTAAGAGGGGTGTGCGGATTTGACCCTGGGGTGGTGCGAGATATTTGTGTTATTTTAACGGAGCCACACGCACCCTTGTACGGTCCCCATCATCGTCAATCAGCTCAACGCGCCTTCCTCGCTCCCATTATCGTCACCATCATAATTGGAAGGAACTGCCCAGCTCATTGGCGATTCTCGTACTGTAGTGTCGTGGACCACACACATCGGATGAATTAGTTCCTGAATTCAGAACCTTTTACATTTCGAATCACCCCATCGCTGGTTCTTTGTGCTCATTCACCTCTGCAGTCCATCCTGTCTCTACCCTAACTGACTTGTCGTAATATCGAAACACGGCACGAACCATCAACCAATTTTGCCCGTCCTAACCCGAATCATGCCTCGACATCCCAGGCAGTCCCGGTTGTCCGACACGACGTCGTCTTATTTTCATGGTCCTTCCCGTGCTCCTAACAGTTCCTCGTCCGCCGCCAGCCGGCGGCCTCCTCGTGACGCTTCCGATGGCGGCAGCTCAATGACTGCAACCCCGTCTATAGTCGGCACAGTATCAAGCACAGCCAAGTCCAATATCACGGCCGGTGGATCGCGTCCATCGACCAGTGTCTCCGGGCGCAAGTCGCGAACTGGTACTCTGTCTACAATGTTGGGGGCAAGTGACCAACAAACAATCATTTGCGCCGTTGCTGAGTCTCGTGGCATTTCGCCTTCTATTGGGCTCGCCCTTGTGAATATTACACTTGGTGAGGCTGTGTTGAGCCAGATATGCGACAATCAATCATACGTCAAGACGATCCATAAGCTACAGATAGCAGGTCCATCTAGAATTGTCTTGATGTCGACTGCTTGCCCGCCCAACAGAGACAGTGTTCTCTATACCTTGATTGATGAGCTCATACCTGATGCAGATATCGAAGTGTTTGACAGATCCGCCTGGTCGGAAGCAGACGGCCTCGAATACATAGACAACCTGGCATTCAAGAGCGATATCGACCCCATGAAGGTAGCAGTGCAGGGTAAATATTATTGCATCAGTTCGCTTGCGGCAGTAAGACACACTGTATCGTGCTGCTTTCCCGACCGCATATGCTAATCTTTATCTCGGGCCATGAAATATATTGAGCACACATTCACGATTAGTTTTGCTCCTAATTCATTGCGTATCAAATATCGACCGTCGGAAGATACCATGATGGTTGATATCTCGGTGATACAATCTCTGGAAATTATACAGAACCTTGACAAACCCAAGTCCAAGGACAGTCTCTTTGGGCTGTTGAACCAAACCAAGACGCCAATGGGATCGCGCATGCTTCGCAACAATATTCTTCAGCCTCCAACAAAGTATGACACTTTTATCAAACCCCGCTACGAAGCCTTGGAGGAGCTTACGAGTGAGGAAGAAATGTTTCATGCGGTTCGAAAGGGTAATTCTTCCAATTCTGAAGATGTATTGATGCCACTAACGAAACATAGCGCTCGAAAACTTCAAAGACATCGAAAGAGTTCTCACAAAGGGACAATTTGACAATACCATGGCATGCAGATGCGAGCTAACCTGCAATAGATGATCACTATATCCACCAAGTCGAGTATCTCCCACGCCGAAGAGCAAATTAATCACATCATTCTTATAAAAACCTTTCTTGAGTCAGTGCCGGAGCTCTACCAAGCGCTGGCTGAATGCAATAGCGCGCTTCTTCTCAAGATTCGAGACATTTGCCACCCCGACACGACAGAACCTATTTTATTCCGGGTTCATCAGGTCGTAGAGGCTGATGTCACGTATATGACTTCGCCGCTCGACATGCGCAATCAGAGGACGTATGCCGTCAAGGCTGGTATCAATGACATGCTAGATGTTGCACGACAAACGTACAAAGAACTAACCAATGAGATCCATCTTCATGTGAACGACATCCAAGGTATTTCGCTTGGACATATTAGCCTCAATCACAAATGAATAACATTGTGGAAATTAGCCCAGCACGGTATTCAGCCGACTGTCAAATTCGACCATGGACGCAAGTATTGGCTGCGCATTAAATCAGGGGACCTCAACAAAGACACATTACCTCAAGTCTTCATCAACGTCGTGAGAAAGAAGGATCATATCCAGTGTCAGACTCTGCCATTAGTTAAGTTAAACTTCCGGCTATCAGAGACTTCAAACGAAATTATAATGCGTAGTGACAAGGTAATCCAAGAACTGATCGTGGATCTCAGGGAATCATCTCCACAACTATTTAGGGTCTGTGAATCGGTTGCTTTAGTCGATATGATTGCCTCTTTTGCACATCTTGCTACCATCAGAGACTATGTCCGACCAGAGATCTTAGATGCACTGGCGCTAAAAGCAGCCCGACATCCAATATTGGACAATGTCAGTGATCCCACTTGCACCAGATTCGGACACTGCTTATGAGTGTTTAGATCATGTTTGAGGGCTTTGTTCCGAATGATTACTACGCGACGCCGCAGCACCGTTTCCATATTGTAACGGGATGCAATATGGCAGGCAAGACTACCTACATCAGAGCTATCGCACTGCTGCAAATAATGGCCCAAATCGGATGCTTTGTTCCGGCTGAATATGCGTCTTTCCCCGTAGTGCACAATCTGTTTGCGCGAGTGTCGTTGACCGATAATCTCGAAGCGAATCTCTCCACATATTCTCTCGAGATGCGGGAAATGGCCTTCATCCTACGAAATGTAAACGACAAAAGTTTGGTGATAATTGATGAACTAGGCCGCGGCACGTGCCCCAGGGATGGCCTGGCAATGGCAATTGCAATGTCAGAAGCACTTATACAGTCGGGTGCCTTTGTTTGGTTTGCAACTCATTTTGTTGACCTGACTCGGGTTTTAGAGGATCGCCCAGGCGTGCTGAGTTTGCATTTAGCCTCTGAGCGGTCAATCTCAGATGAAGGCGAACCACGACTGGTCATGCTCTACAAGGCAAAATCTGGTGTTGTCGACACAAACGAGCATTATGGAATCGATTTAGCACGGGCCATTGGGTTTCCGGAATCCTTTACTAAACGAGCCGAAGAGGTGGCAAACGCACTGCGGCAACGAAGAGAGGCTAGTTTGCGGGATTCTGAGTCTCGACGGCTGGTAGCCCGTCGTAAGCTCGTGCTCAGTTTGCATGAGGCTCTGAAACAAGCCTACGAGTACGGGAGCGATGAAGCCCTACCCGGATACTTGAAACACTTACAGGAAGACTTTATCAGCCGTATGAATGATTTGGAGATCTCATGATGGATTTTAAAATTGCTTCGGTTTCGTCTGATTTTATGACTGGGGACGGAATTTACTTGGTGCGATGACGATGGGTTGCTCTTGTGAAATTGCTTCACTGCGGATTGGGGAATGCTTGTTGAGCGTGATTCTATGTGAAGACAGTACAATACGATGCGTTGTTTCTACTGTGGTCGGTCATAATCAAGGGCTTCTACCCTCTGCCAAACTTGTCTCACCACGCGGTGTTGTGCTTCCAAGCCGGTTTCTGTATCTGTACTGCCGGTAGGACTGGTGATTATCAGCGCTGTTTAAACATACTATGTTGCTTTAGGTCTTACCGTATAGCGAGGTATAATCTTCCACCTAATTCGACTTGCGGGATGGCGGCTTTTTTATAATCGTGTGGGGGATTTGCAGTTGTAACTAGACCTCCCGCTTCCTCCAAGATGGCAATACCGGCAGCAACATCCCTATCCCAGGTCAATGAGTGAAGACTGCCTGGTATATCCTTCACCTGTCATACGTACCACTCCCAACATCCTCCTTCCCACCAAATGTCAATCGACCCCATTGCCGTATACGCCAAATCCATTGTCGCACTGCAAATCATCAGCAAAACCACCACATCAATATGTAATAAATGTGTCCCCTACCTCCCTAAACTCCTCACACCGTGGACCATTCCCCCTTGTCCTCCTCTACCATTCCGCTCCATCGCCATTGTGACAAAAGAATGAACCTTTCTATTCAAGTTTCCCTCCGGAATTTCCCTCCTGTCTTTACCCCATTCGCAGGCAAAGGTACATCCACTCGGGGCGGCTTTTGGCAGAGGCGGTATCGGATTCCTTACCAAGGGCATCTGGTGTCGTTCATTGAACCAGGCTCCTTTTCCGCGACATGATGAAAAGAATTGGTTCAAAAATGGGGCGTTGATCACTCCGATGACGGGATGACCTCCAATACAGAATGCGATGGAAACACAGAACATGGGGAAGAGGTGTGTGAAATTAACAGTGCCGTCAAGGGGGTCAACGATCCATGTTGGCAAAGACGTGACGAGGTACTGTTTCGAGGAGCCGGCTGAATATGATTCTTCGCCGAGGAAGCTGTAACAGTTAGTATCTGCTGAGGCTAAGTGACGCGTTGGTGCCGGACCTGTGGTCGGGGAACCTGGTGGCGATGGTTTGGCGGATAAATTCTTCAACGGCTTTTACAGTTAGATTCTGGTAGAGATGGCATAGATGGCGTGTGGTGGCTCGTATGTACCGTGGTCTGTCTTTGTGACTATGTCAACTGAGCTTTCCTTCTCGTGGAAATTGCCGTCAGATGATGGAGCCTTAATTCTACTACAAGCAGCGTCAAGCAGCATCTGGCCGGCATCTTTACCGAGTTTTTTGGCAAAGGCGTATATCTCGGTGAGTTGATGGTCGTCCATTGCGGCTGTCAACCCGGCAATAGTCATCTCTTCAGTATGATATCATTTGAGGAGGTTTTTGTTTTGCGATCTCTGATTGCCATTCATCCAATACTGACGGATATCAGCGGCTCCCAATTCCGGCGTTAGGAGGCGGAACGCTTCCACATTCTGGATGATGCTTTATCCAGACCGTCCACACATTGGGCGGGCACTAACACGGCCACTTTGACCGCACATATATTAAATTAACCCCGTCTTCTCCCCACCTGGAATCATGAAACTGTCGTAATTAATTCAGCTCGGCTTTGTATCCAAAAATGCCCCGCATCCTAGTTCTCAACGGTCCCAACCTCAACCTCCTCGGCAACCGCGAGCCGCAAATGTACGGCTCAACTACGCTCTCCGACATCATTGCCACCCTCACAGCCCAAGCGTCCTCCCTTTCTAGCACCATTGAGTCCTTCCAATCCAACCACGAGGGCGCGCTAGTCGACCGCATCCACCAGGCCCGTGGCAACATTGATGCCATCATCATCAACCCCGGTGCCTTTACGCACACTAGCGTCGCCATACGCGATGCCCTTTCTGGAGTTGACATCCCCTTTGTGGAAGTGCATATTTCCAATGTCCACGCTAGAGAAGAGTTTAGAAGACATAGCTACTTGAGCGATAAAGCGGTAGGGGTGATTTGTGGGCTGGGTGTATACGGTTTTGAGGCTGCGTTGGAGTTTGCGGTTCGACATGTTAAGAAGGCTTCACGGTTGTAGGACATATGTAGAATGTCTAGAGTTACAATTTAATAGGTATATTTACAGCATCGGTTGCATTCTTTCCCTTGACTGTTCCGTGGTCAAACCTAGTTCTGAAACCATCCTGTTCCACGAGCGGGCTGCACGCTGAGCCATGAGACCTGGTGTCCTAGAATCGGGGTTGAAGAGTTCTCTGTTGAAGACTTCGAAGCTCAGCCACCCATCATATCTCAAGTCTGTGACAATAGCACTCAAGATGGCTCGCACAGGGAGATATGCACCGTGTGTATCCTCGCCGTAGAATAGTCTAGCATTACGCGACCAACTCATTCGCGGAGGCTGTTCGGGGTTGTAAAACTCGTGCTGTGGTGTAAGCGGCTTCGACAGCTTTTCTGCGTCTGCAACCTGCAATAGAAACAACTTGGAAACGTCCACTTCGCCGACCATGCCTGCAACTGACCGCACAACTGCCTCGTCACAGTCCTGGGTGCAGCCAGAAGACACTGAAGGATCCGCATATATCCTCCCGGCAATGTTGAACGAGTCCAAGCAAATCCCAAAGTTTCCCCTGTCCACCTTCCTGACCACGTTCCAACTAGCCTCCCACGTGTCGACTCTTGTGCCCCAACACAAAGCCTCGAAGGCATATCGTATTACTGGTCGTGCCTGGAGGCCAATCTCGGCGACCTCTCGCATATCTCGAACGATGACGTCGATGTCTTCAAAAATGTGCTCAGGCGCCAGGTTACTGCTCGGCAGCAGAATGAGATCAGTGTCCAAATTGTGAGCCAGCTTCACCCAGTGATGCATCTCCTGGATCCGCTTCTGATGCAAAGCCCGATCGACCAAGCCCTCGTAGTGCATAAAAGGCTGGAGGCAGATGATGACAAGTCCGCGCTTCTGGCACATTTGCTGAATCATGACTGCTGCGGCTAGTTCGTTTTCTAGGGTGTCGCCACCTTCAATAGTTTTTGCGAGGTCGACCAGGTCTTCGTAGAATAGTTCGACGCCTTGGAAGCCGTGCTGGGCTGCCATTTCAAGTTTATATTCGAGTTTGTGGCCGGCGGCACAGCGGCCGAGGGAGATGGTGCAAACGCTGGCCATTTGCACCATTTTGAGAGATGTCTTTTGATGATTACGGTTGATATCTTTGTTTGGGTTGTAGATGGTGATTGAAAACTGTATGAGAAGGGAGGCGTATGCAAACAGGGCTTGATTGCCAGCCTTGCTTGGGCCAAACACGGGAGGTCTTGTGTTACCATGAACCTGTGCATGCGCGGATTAATGCTCGAGTGATTGACATTCTCTAGAGTCCTTTCTGAGGGTGTCTGTAATACCCAGCACTTGGAACGCCATCCATGACGCTCTTGGATAAACATAATTTGCCATGTACGGGAGTGAATTGAAGTCCGGGAGAGCAAGGAACGGACGGAATACTCCGTCAACTGCAGCAACCTAGCTAGGAACGCCTATCCAATATCACCCGCCGGCCTTCCCCATTCACCAGTCACCCGACATGACGCGGCCCATTCAGGCAAGCGTTAATGCAATGGCTAAGTCTTTACCCGGGTCAGCTCCCGGAAGCGGGGATGCCGATGTGGGGCCGTTGAGCTTGGCGACCGCGTGCCTTTGCCGACATTTCGGACTGAACGCCGACATTTTTTCCAAGGCCAGCATCAATCCTGGGAAGGGTCTGGTAGTTTGCTTTTTCTGGGGGTGGCATGCAAGTGCACGGCTCGTACGCAAAGACATATCAACGCAACACCTCATTCGACGTAGACTGTCGCTTCGCAAGCTCTGAACCACGGTCAATTGCACTCAATTTGATGACACCTGCACCATGACAACAACGGAGGCTCATCAACAACCAAAGCCATTGGGTGACACTCTGGAACACCAAAAGGCACGACTAGATCTCCATGGATATCTCTTTGGCCAGAAGATCACACACTCCCTATCACCGTTCTTACACCAGATCATATACGACCACCTGGGCTTGAAATGGAGTCAAATACGCCTCGACTCAGCAGACATGTCGCAGTTCTTACGACTAGCCCAACACCCATCATTTTACGGTGAGCCCAGCACTCCCTCCCTTGCGAAGAACAGAAAACGGAAACAAAAAATGGCCGAGACATTACTAACAAGAATCACAGGGGCCTCAGTCACCATGCCCAACAAAGTCGCCATCCTCTCACACCTGGATGAAATGACGGACGAATGCAGAGACGTCGGCGCTTGCAACACGCTCTTTCTCAAGGAACGCAACGGACACCGCATCCTCTGCGGCACAAACACGGACGTCATCGGCATCAGAGACTCGTTCCACTACAACGTCGCCAACCCCTCGGGCACGTTTCATAACCGGCCGGCCCTCGTCATTGGCGGGGGCGGCGCAGCCAGGAGTGCCATCTACGCACTCCGCAAGTGGATGAATGTGACGGACATCTATCTCGTCAACCGCGACAAGAGCGAGGTGGACGTGATGATGGCAGACTGCTCCTCGCGTGGATACGGCAATGGCCTGCGGCACGTCGCGAGTGTCGAGGAGGCGCATGCCGTCGACGGACCGGGTGCCATCGTAGCCTGCGTGCCAGACTTTGACCCCCAGACGCACGAGGAGGTTGTTGCAAGACAAGTGACCGAGGTGTTGCTGGACAAGCACCACAAGGGCGCCATGCTGGAGATGTGCTACAACCCTTCGCCGTTTACGCGACTGGGCGCCTTGGCCGAGGAAAAGGGCTGGCAGGTGATTTTGGGCACCGAGGCGCTGATTTGGCAGGGCCTCGAGCAGGATAGATATTGGACGGGCTTGCGGATCGACGAGTTGCCCGTGGCCAAGGTCCAACAGGCCATCGGGGAAAAGGTGGCACAGCGATCGCAGTCGCGCCTGTAGATAGACGTTGAATACAAGTAAAACGGATTCACTGTAGACTTTTGTCGATGGCGGTTGTACTACCAAGAGCAGAGGAAGTCTTCAGTGGTAAAGGTGTCGCACATATTTTTCCTTGACAATAGTGCAGCAGAGAATGTAGATGGCGGGATTCGAGTTAAAGAGTCACCTGATGAAGAGAAACCTCGTCGGCTGTCTAGATGTATCAAGATGTTGCGCAAATATCTCAACAGCATCAGCAAGGAGCACTGTAAACATCGATCATTGCGCAACACTCATCATATTGGCCAAGTTCGTCATACTTCTCGCTCTATCCACAACCAAAGAATGTCTCGTCAAGACTAAAACCATTCCACATCCCTCGCCATCTTGTTAAACTACCCGTCAATAGATTCGAGGTATAGAGTCAGGCACCGCTTCCCATGGTCCGCCGATCTTGAGCACAGCATATCTGAGTGAGTAGTCCGAGCATCACCCAGCCAATATAATGTCTCAGTTGTTCTAGCGACAACAAGGTATTTCCACACTATTCAGTGGCGATCCAAAGTCCGGAATCCATGATTTAGTCTTGCTTACAAAGGCGTCTTAGGTAAAACAGAAGTAAAACTTTATTCTCTTGTGGAAGGATGTGCTTCTCGTCCATTCAACTGACCGCGTAGTCAAACCTGTGGAATGGAACTACTACTCGACTCAACCTGTTCCGTTTCAATCTTTTCCACCTCTAGCCCGACACCATCCGCATTGTGACGAAAATTCTCTTCCTCCGCACGCAGCTCCTCCATCAAGATGGTATTTGCGCGCCACGTAGGCTTGATCCTGAAGAGTCGGTCCATGGCCTCCAAAGGCAGCGCCTTCGTCTCGGGCAAGCAGAAGAAGACAAAGACGACTGAGAGAAGCATCAGAGATGCAAAGAAAAAGTACACACCGTAGCCCCATGCGTTGAACATTTGCTCGGTGAACCTGGCAATGATGAAGTTCCAGAACCAATTGTTGGCAGCAGCATTCGCCTGCCCAAGAGATCGCGTATTCTGGTCAAACATTTCCGAGTTGATAACCCACGGTGTTCCATTCCATGAGGGGGTATAGAAGGCCGTCCAGAGGTAGAAGAAGAAAATGGCAGCAATGCCGCCAGAGCTCAAATTGCCACTGGAGCTCTTGGGATCGGTTCCAGCAATCTTGATATATGCACCGATAAACCACATGCAGAGAGACCCGCCCAGTGCACCGACAATCAGCAAGTTACGTCGTCCCATGTGGTCGATAAGGACTAGAATCCAGACAACAGTAAGTGCTGTTTTGACAACACCAAAGATTCCAGTAGTAAGGAAACTTGTGTTTGTCCCCGTGATTCCAATGCTACGGAAAACTGTTGGGCTATAATAGTTAATGGCATTGATACCCGAGCCTTTGGATTGTTAGCAAGATAGCTACTAGGTTCATTTGGCACGCCGCTTACCGTTTTGAAACACAAAGAGCAGCGCTCCAAGGAGGAATCTCCACTGAATTCGCTTCTGTTTGAGAGCCAGGAATGGCTTCCAAAACCCGGCACCAACCTCTCGGCGATACCGCTCCGTCTCCTCATCAATGTAACTGACTTCTTCGACAATGTAGATGTCGGAAGGCCGGAGTTGTCGCATCCAGCACAAGACCCTCATAGCCTGATCGCGTTCGCCCTTGGAAAATAACCATCTAGGTGATTCGGGAATAAAAAAACAGCCAATAAGAAGCAAGCCAGCTGGAATCAGTTGAACGGCAAAAGGAATAAGCCATTGCGAGTGACTCGGGGCCATTGTGGTGTTAACACCATAGTTAATCCAAAAACCTACAAGGCCGCCGATTTGCCAACCAAGTTCGTAAATGCCGACTAGACGACCTCGCACTGCGGGTGGTGAGAGCTCTGAAATGTAAATTGGTGTCATGTTTGAGCAGCCACCAATCCCGAAGCCAGCGAGGACCCGACCGCCAATTATGAGTCCAGTACCACGGTCACCATTCGCTCCCAGCATCATCGCTGCTCCGGCGATGAAGACCAGGGTAAACAAGAACAGTGACTTGCGGCGTCCCAAGAAATAGCTGGATGCATAGGCTCCCAAGCTGCCAAAGAAAGCCCCAGCTTGATAAACAGAAACAATGTTCTGTTTAAGCAACGCCAACGACGACGGAGAGTAGGTCGCAAAATTGAACTCATCGACAAAGGACGGAAGGGCCAGAGTTGTCCCGATGAAGGCGGAGTCGTAGCCAATCATGCATGATGCAAAGGATGCTGTAGCGGCACATGCGTATACACGCCAGTTGTAGACGGCAGAAGGTGTTGGCCGATCCTCTTTGAGTGCAAGCAAGGTCATTGTAACAAGGTCAACGGAAAACGTCGCAGTAGAAGAAGACTGTTGATACCTGCTTGTCTGAATGGCTTGCCTTCAGTCGTCGCACCGGTCAACTTATATGAAGCCAAGCAAGAAAAGGAGCAACGCCATCTTCGGATGACCATCATCTGCGTGTTTTCTTATTTCAGACAGCCCAGTTGCCACACATTGTTGAGAAAAATTGGTGTTGGCAGTGGGAATTGCACCTCGCCCACATTCCCGGCGCCACGAAATCCGGGGTGCGCGGGGAACTGTGGAGTGTGTGGAATTTGACTGGCCAAGGGTTGAAGCTCAAAAACTAATGGCGTTGATTAGCGCGTGATGGCTTGGATAAACGAATATCCTGGGAGGTTTCTGGCGGTTCATGTCACCAACCGAAGCTCAAGTATGCGCTTGCCATGTCAAGTCGTTTCGTTACCAAAGGCGCAGTATCGGCTTTGATGTAGCCCAGCTGTCGGGCCGTGGGTATAGTATTTCCCCAGATTGCTAAAGCAACACAGACGCAGGACAGCTTTCAAACACCCCAGTCTCCTTGAAAGATCTCCGCCAGATCACATCCCGGGGCAAAACCAAGGTTTGTCATAAATTGTGTATCCATCTCCATATTATCAGTGTATCCAATAGAGCCAAAGTCCTCAAGTATGGCGTCGTAATCAAAGTTTTGGCTCATTCGATGATTGCTAGAAAACATGGTATGGGTGTTTACGCTGCCACTGTTCAGGCGAGTAGTAATTGGTGTGTCAATGGCAAATGCTGGATTTGGAATCGCATCCTGGTATCCGAAGCGAAGTTGCTGAGCAGGCTCGAGGCCCGTCAAAGCTTTCACTCCGATGCCCCCAGGTTGTGATCTCGCATGGGCCTTGGCGTCCGGACCTGTCCCCGTGGGCATCGGGGTAAATGTAATTTGCTGCAAGTTGTGAGGCAGTGTCACCTCGCTCGAGTATGTTGGTAGTTCATCCAATGTGTATGCATACGGCTCGCGCTCACGCCATATGTTTTGCATTCTTTCCGTAATAGAACGCCATTTTCTTATGCCAGATTCCCCCATCTCATCCGCATCGGCACGACGTTGCACAATCTGCAGCAATAGCACAACGACAGGTGGGGTGTGGCCGGCACCGAATACTGCAAAGCAAGACTCAACAATCTCCAAGAACCCAGAGAGCAGAGATGATCTTGAATCAGATGTCAACTCAATAGTAGCCGTCAAAAAAAGAAGTTTGACCAGGTAGGCCGACGGTATTATAGGCGTTGATCCGCTTGATATCAGAGAGTTGCAGTAGTTGAAGCGACTGTCAAGTATCTTAACCAATACTTCGGGGCCGGGGACCCCTGGTAGACTTTCTCCGCTCATGTGCGAAGTGAGGTGGTCACTCATTACAGATGCAAAAGCATGTAATTGAGTTATGGTCCTAATAGGTTGCGCTATGTGCTGTGGCATTGTAGAGCTGGTCGACGTTGCTGATATCTCAGGTACAGAAACCCATGGCTGATCAAACTCGGCAAAATCAGCCGCTTCAAGTTGACGGGTGCCTTTCATATGACTGAGTCCTCGCATTGGATGCTGGTGGAGGAAGACAGACGTCAAAACATCCAAGAAGGAACACGCCAGTGAAACCACTTCAAGCTGAATTAAAGAAAAGTCGCCCTCTTCTTGTGTTGTGACATCCTCTGTGAGTCGTAGCCGTTGTAGGAACCGCGCAGATTTTCCCAGTAATATTGAAGCCGCCAAGGTCTTCATTTTTCCGATCAAGATTACGGAATGAATGATCATGGCATTGATACTATGAATATCGAATCCTCCGTCGTCTGCGGGTATTAGAGTACGGGAAACGTCGAAGATTTCCGAGATGCTGGGAGATCTCGGGCCAGCATCTTCAGTACACTCCTCATCCTGATATGCAGCAATGGCTAAAACAGCCCAAAGCTCTGAATGCTTCAAATACGAGCTGTCGTGAACATTGCTACATATGCTGATACCCTGAGACGGGTATGATGAAGCGAGAGCACGGAGAGAGTCCAGGTTCACAATTGGCAGCCAACAATGCGTATAGGACACGTAGACGTCCAGAAGCCGCTTCCAATTTTTAGGGAGCCTGAGCCTATGTTCATGGGCTGTTTCCGGGTCTTGCATCGTTCGAGACACCGTGACGGACTCGCCTGATCCGCGTGACGTCGCATCCCGGGCATTCGCTTGGCTTTCACCATCTGTGTCAAGGTCGTTTCCAGAATCCTCTGAATTATTGATTTGCGCATCAGACAAAAGTCCATCAATAGCTTTCCTCACTCGATTTCGATTCCAAAGTCTTTGCAAATGGTGACCAGCACTGCCTTTGCCTAACAGAGCACGGGTGTCCTTGGTGGCGTCTCTGTCTCCTCTCGATAGAAATCGAAGCAGTTTCTCTTCACACTCGGGCATTTGTTCAAAAATCCAGGCCAATGATAGCTCTATCGCGCGCAGGTAGCCTGTTTGCACCCCTCTCTTTTTGGTCGCCGGAGTGTATGAGCAGGATCGCTGTTGAGAAATGCAGGTTCTACACTCTGGTCGAGCACCATCACACTTTTCCCTGGCTGCACGGCAAGCATTGCAGGCAAGGGAAACTCGTCGCTTCTTGGGTTTGCCACCATTTTCTGTGTCGTTTGAAGTTGCGGCGGCGTTCCGAGCTCGTCGTTTCTGTGGCATGTTGGGCTGGGAGAGCCGGCCTTCCAATTACGGAACCTGCAATAGACTCGCGAGGCCCGGTCCGGCCAGAAACATAATAGTCGAAGCTGTAATGGTGAGATTCGGGGCGATTGCTTCGCAAGAATCAATGGAATTGGACCTGTGCCAAGGCTGGCGACAATTGGCAGCCTTCGTGGGGTGCAGATGATCCAAGTTCCATTGGCTCAGCTTCCCCAGAGTGGCAGCTCCAGTTGGCTATTGGGAATCTTGGGATCTGGGGAGCAAGCGAAGGAACAGCCCGGATAAACACTTATCCACTTTGAACCTTCGCGACACGCTCAAGTGCCATTGCCATTGATGGTCAGTCGGCCAGTCGCTTTTCAATCGATACATCCGGTTCAGAGAGATTTTTTTGACGGCATACTTTTGCACCAGCTGCCTGCGTCACTCATCATGGACTGACAGGTCGCCGGCGGCATCTATTGCATCTGAAATCACCGATACATGGGTGCGTTAGTCAAATACTCCTCAACACATGATGACGGGCGTCAAACGATCTTTGGCCGCCCTGATGGCTGATGAGAGGTCGCTGTCGTTGGGAGACGCAACAGAGCCCATTACTCGATCTAGGTCCGGCACAACCTCTGTCAATTCTATCGAGTATACATCAAGAGCGTCGTCGCCGACGTTACCGCCGCTCAATAGCAAAATGCCCAAGTTCACCCCCGAGGCGTCTATTGTTATCGTTGGCGTGCGGGGTGCTGGCAAGACGACTCTGGCGATTATGGCTGCGTCGGCCTTGAAGAAGAGAATTGTTGACCTAGAAGTTGCTTTCCAGCGCGCGACCAACCTCTCTAGTCCCACATACAGCAAGGTCCATGGCACGACGCAGTGCCAAATAAAGCAAGGCGATGTCCTCCAAGACACCCTAGAGACCAATACTACTGGGTGCATAATCGTCTGTTCTTGGATGGAAAGACGTGTGCAGGGTCTTCTGCGACAATACGCAGCATCCAACCCAGTAGTCCACGTCGTGAGAAGCAAGGAAGCCGTACAAGAACACCTAAGAGTAGAATCAGGAACCAAGTGGGAAACCTTCTGGAACACCAGTAATGCCTTCTTTCGGACTTGTTCGAACCTGGAGTTTTTCAATGTTTCCGAGTCCGCCGCCGTCGAAAAGTCTCTGCCGTCAATTCGCAATTCCTATGGTGTAGATTTGCCTCCTTATTTGGCACTGAAGCAAGCCGAACGCCACTTGCTCAAGTTCTTCTCACAGATATATCCGGCCGGCACAATCCCATTCTTTGAATCAGCCTACCCTTTAGCTACTGTCGCCACGGAGCAGCGCCAATACACATACGCCGTAGACATCTCCGTCCAGGAAATTATTCACAACCGTGTGGATATCGAGGACTGCTCAGCAGGTGCGGACGCCATGCAGATCACTTTTGAAGACATCCAAATCGATTGGGCTCACTGCATATATCTCGACGAGTACACTAAAATGGCCAACCGCGTTACCGAAGCTGTTGGTTTGGTGCGAAGAAGCAATGTCCTTCCAATAATTGTCCACATTGGACTCCCGAACCCATCCGCGGCGATGACGACCACCTACTTCTATCTAGATTTACTTTCCCACGTCCTGACTCTGGCCCCAGAAATGATGACAGTGGACTTACGGCTAGACGACAATGCCATTGCCAAGCTAGTATCTCAAAAAAGGAGCTGCAAGTTGATAGGCCACTACGCTCCGACAGCAAACTTCGATTCCTGGACATCACCGCAATGGATCTCACATTATCAGCGAGCAGTTCGGCTGGACTGTGACCTGGTCCGCTTCATTCGTCCTGCGGAAGCTGTCACCGACAACTTTGAAGTCGCTCGATTTCGGTCGACTGTTGAATCACTTCCAGACTCACGTGCTCCTATCATAGCATACAACTCTGGACATTTAGGCAGACACTCTGCCTTTCTCAATCCCATTCTCACCTTGGTTTCACCAAGGTTCATATGCCAGGTCAATGAGAAACAGCGACAAACAGGCCTTTTGGCAGACTCTGCCACCAGAGCGCTTTATGCGAGCTTCTTGTTCGATCCCATGAAATTGTATGTGTTTGGAGCCAACGTTGGCTACAGTATGTCGCCAGCAATGCACAACTCTGCGTTGGAAGTTTGCGGCGTCCCGCATCGGTACGAGCCGTATTCTACAAACTCCTTGCAGCAAGTAAGACATCTGATCCAAGATCCCAATTTTGCGGGGGCGTCCATAGGATTGCCCTTCAAGGTTGAATTTATCACCTTGACAGACTCTCTAAGTCCTCACGCTCAGGCGATTGGTGCCATCAATACTTTGATCCCAATACGCCATCTCAACGACGATGGCACAGTTCCGACGGGTGCTGCCTCCTTCTTTCGTGGAGTCAACCGGGCAGGTCCTGTTCTTGCACTCTATGGGGAGAATACAGATTGGATAGGTATTCGCGCATGCATTCGCCGAGGTCTGTCTCCAGCAAACGCTGTGCGACCCGCCACTTGTGGTTTGGTTATTGGTGCAGGAGGCATGGCCAGAGCTGCAGTTTATGCACTTTTGCAGGTCGGCGTCAGCAATATTGCCATATACAACCGAACCGTAGAGAATGGGAAGAAATTGGTGGACCATTTTACGCAACTGCTGCAGAAGAAGGAGTTCGAAGGGCTGGGCGCTGGAGTGAAGACAAAATTTGAAGTCTTTCCCATGCTCCAGCACGACTGGCAGTCGGAATTCCGCTTACCATCAATTATCATTTCATGCATCCCTACCCATCCAATAGGTGACGTTCCCTCTCCCGAGTTCAGATTACCTGAGTCATGGTTAGAAAATCAGACTGGAGGGGTCATCGTTGAGCTTGGATACAAAACGTTAAACACGCCACTGTTGCAACAAGCAATGGAGCATGCAAGTCGAGGGTGGATCGCGATGGACGGGTTAGATCTACTACCAGATCAAGGGTTTGCGCAGTTTGAACTCTTCACTGGGAAACGGGCGCCAAGAAAAACGATGAGGAAGGCGATATTTGAGAATTACCCAGACCAATATGGAAGATCAAATCCAGAGGAGCTGCGACGCCGGCTTCAAACTATGCTGGAATGATACAGGAGGACTTTTCAATAGTATCATTATGAAATACTCATAGTCATACGAATTTGATGCGATTTCATTAGCTTTTTATGAGTCTACCACTGATCTGGTGCTTGGCCCAGCAAGCCACCATGCTGTTGATTCAAAGGATCTACCGAGCGCTCAAGCCACCTGAGCCAACCCTTTATTTCCTTCTTTAGAAGGAGTAGGTTTAAGGGCGATATGAGACAGATGTTGTAAAAATTAATCAAGGTCTTTGTTGCCTGTATGGTAGCTCTAAACAATCTTTTGGTGTGTTTTTGTCTTCACATTTGGACAAGCTACCCTAAGCCTCAATTAAATTTGGCCCTTTTCTCCCCTCACTCCACGTCTTGCATATATTCTTCAATTATATGGAGATCAAAGAGATGTTTAATTTAAAGAAAAAAACTTAGGCGGTTCCTTGACTTCACACCTGGCTAGCACGCGGGTAGCAAAAAAGGCCGCACACCCCGCACCCACAACCACACACACAGGTGTGCGGCCCTTTTTGCAACCCGCGTGGCTAGGTTACTCAAAGCACATCGAGTCTTGATAAAAGACAAGAATGAGCTCAAACTAATATGGTGTGACACTTACCTGCGTGTCCCACGTTGTAACATCGCCTCTTCGTGTTTCATATTGACTGCCATTAATGGATCAACACGCGATGACGTCTTTCAGTGTCGGATCTTGTGGCACGAGATTCGAGTTCGGCGACTAGTCACCGTAGCACTGTGTTCACGTCAAGGCGAATCTAGGACCATGCCGTTGAGGATGGCGCAACAAGATCCCAACGTAAGACGCTGACTTGCGAGATTACTGCGACCCATGGACCAATCCATATTGCGAATGAATTTGCGTCCAACTGCCTCATTAAACCTTTTCTTTTATCTTTTTTTAAGAGATCAATTGTCATTTGAATCATGAACGTCATTTCTAGATTTGTGCACCGGCGATGGATGGCAGCTTGCGTAAGGTTTTGTGGGGTTTAGGCACAGTAGTTGTTGTTTGATTGGTCAAGAACCAAAGCCAAGAATGAGAGTGACGAGCCCACGCAAACGAACACTGAAAGGAGCTAGCAAGGGGCCAATACTGGGCAAGACCAAGATTCATTATTAAGAGGCAGGAGCGACAAGCTTGTCTGTCGACCCGCCTGCCACTGTTGCGGTAAGCTTACAAGGCAAGGGGCGATACGAACCTCGACCACCGCCACCGCCGTCGCCGTTTTATTTGATTCGGACGACAGATTACTGTTCCTTTTAAAATCAATCACTTTTTGCCCATCTTACCTCATTCTCATCTCACACTCAGTGCTATCATAAGTTACAATCTATTTTCGGAACCTCCTACTTGCCACCGTCGGGCACGGCGAAGTCTACCAGTAACACTGCCTGCTTCCAAGTGAAGACGGCCGTCAGCACCCGCACACAGACAACCAGGTTGGGGAGGATTGTTCTCGGGTTAAGAACGATATTGAGGACTCCAGCGAGCCAAGGCCCAACGCTATTACACATCGCTTCGCTCGCATGCTCATTTACCGGCAAAAGCCCTAGTAGATATTTGCGACTACCTTCCTTGCCTTTGCTTTACAGGATCGACCTCTCTAGGGGGACAAAGCCTCAGCAATGGATGGCACTGCTGCCAGCAGCAGTGGCAGCGGCTTACGGGTCGGCAAATTGCTGCCAAAGGGTTTATCAGCGAAGAGGAGGCGCAGAAAGGACAAGAATGGACGGGACTCGGAGGCATCGGGCCCAGATGATGACACACGCAGCACAAGCGCACACAGCACCCAGCGACGTTCCAAGCGCGAGCTGACCCTCGAGAGTGATGATGCCAACTCAACCAACATTGCTGACGACGACGACGAGATGGACGACCGCAGCTTTGGGTCCTTTGAGTCTGGCGCAGATCCGGAGACTGCCGACCGGTATGTTACATCACTTTCATCTATCCTTGATATCTTTGTTCTGTTCTTTTCCTTCCCCTTGCCCCATACACAGTCACAGTATGACGGCTTTTCTGTTTTAAGCTCCGAGACAAAAGTTTCGATGGGTGTTCGTGCCAGTCTTCTCCACTCGATGGCCCCGCCGCACACTGTGCGTATGACAATAGCAGCCATAGTGCTCGTCGGAACTAGTCTCTACTGTCATTTAAAGCCTCACGTTTCTCTCAAGATTCTGTCGTCCTCCTGTGCTATTATCACTTTTTTTTGCCAGCTTCAATTCTCCCAACGAGCATTTTCCGCATGCAAAACTGTTGTGCTACTAATAAACGAAACGTCTGCCTAACAAGCTGAACAGTGGAAGACCCGCATCAAGCTCTGCTCCAGCTCGACCCGCCACAATATCAGCCCACCCATCTCTGATCGGTTACTTGACAACGTCATCCCCCGTGGTCCAGACGCAACACCTTGACTCGCGGTCTCACTTCCTATCCTCCTCTCAAGCCCGCGGCTATTCCAGCGGCAGCAGTGACAAGTCCGGGTCGCCAGAAAAGCCGTCCAAAGCAAAGGGCATTCCCGGCTTTCAGAACTCGATCCCGGAACCTCCTGCGCCAGCAAAATTAGCTTCCGCCGACCGAAAGGCTAGGACAGTGACACCCAAAATCGAAACCAACCCTCCCCGTACGCCACCTCAAGACGATAAACCTGCTCCCGTTATTGTCAACACCCCCCCAACTCCAACGGACCGAACTGATCGTTCACAATTCGCAACGTCTCCGGACGGCAGGTCGTCAACGAATGGGGCCGACCCTAAACTGAGAGCGGATGGAAGTGCTGTTGCGTCGAATATGAACACCCATAGGAGAAGCAAATCTGGGTCTGCAGCAATTGGTCCTAGCAAGCTCTCTCATATTACAGCGGCGCCATTAACACCTACTGACGAGACTGGCGGAGAGAGTAACCAAAGTGCCACTGGATTCTTCTCGTCTATGATATCTGCCGCTCAAAACGCAGCTACCTCAATTAGCAATACGATACCCAGCGGGGGACTCGGCATTGGAAGTAATAAAAACCGGACCGGCACACCAAAGTCTCTGAATTCTCCTGCCGCTAGCCAAACAACCTTGAACTCGCAACCCGCACCTGAACCAGAGCCGCGTATTGAAGACACAATGGATCAGAAAGAGTCTGCAGTTCGAACACTGGGGTCTGGGGACCTGAGCCTTAGTCAACTCGGTCTTCCTGAATCTTCAGTTGCCTCTCCCGCGAGCGCCAGATTCGGCGGTGTTGCCGACACCAGAACGAGATCAGAATCTGCTCCAACTGAGCCTCAAACCTCGGTCACGGACGTACTTCCAGCAGAATCATCGAGCCGTCCCCGCTCCTTGGCCGAACCTGCCAGCGGGGACCAGACCCCCCCGCAGACGGACTTTTCAGACCTTAAAGGGCCAGTTCAACGGTCGTCCAGTCTCAGGAGTGCAATGAAACCTCACAGGAAGAGGGGAAGCTCAGCGACAACAGGAGGAACCGTAGCTGCGGCTATTACATCTGCCACAAGTGCTGCTCTTCCCACCACCGGCGGCCTAGGGGCACCCAAGTTGACCGGATTCGCGATTGCCAGCAAGAAGCGGAACCGCGATTTTCATAATCTCTTCAAGAGTGTACCTGATGATGACTATCTAATTGAAGATTATAGCTGCGCTCTTCAACGAGAGATCCTAGCCCATGGCCGATTATATGTGTCTGAGGGTCACCTTTGCTTCAGCAGTAATATCCTTGGCTGGACAACAACATTGGTCATGAGCTTTGACGAAATCGTGTCTGTGGAGAAGCGAAGCACCGCTCTTGTATTCAAAAACGGTCTGATGATATCGACGCTGCACGCCAAACATATTTTTGCCAGTTTTACAAGCAGAGATGCCACATATGATCTTATTGTAAATATTTGGAAACTGGGCCACCCAACTCTACGAAGCACATTGAACGGCGTTCAGCTAGAAGGAACCGGCGGAGACAAGACGGAAAAGGTGGAAGAACAGCAAGGGGTGATGGAAGAGGCACAAGAGGCGTCCGGATCCGAAGAAGATACAGATGATGATGAAGGCGACGACGACGAGTTCTATGATGAAGAAGAACACGATGAGGTGACGGAGACCCAGTCGACAGATATGACAGCAGTTGAACCGGATTCAGAGAAGCCGGTGACGCGAAAGGTGTCTGGAGTGACTGCTGTAAATGGCGTAGCATCTGAACCGTCCAAAGACGCATCTCCACCGCCAGGCGGCGCACCTGATTTTCCTGGACCCTCCGCTCATGCGCCAACAGACTGCGGCGACTCAGCAGCCCATTACGAAAAGGTTCTCGGTGATGAGGTTATTCCCGCCCCTCTTGGAAAAGTGTACAGCCTCGTCTTTGGCCCTGGATCTGTCACGTGGATGAATAGGTGGCTGTCGACAGAGCAAAAGTGCACCGACATCCAGATGGAGGATAGGAAGGGCCTCACGGCCGAGAACAAGAGCCGCACCTTCACGTACATCAAACCACTCAACGGCTCCATCGGCCCGAAGCAAACGAAATGTGTTGTGACAGAAACCATCGACCAGATCGACTTGGAGAAGGCCGTAAACCTCAGCGTCTCTACTCAGAATCCAGATGTGCCCTACGGCAACTTATTTACCGTCAAGACGAAATACTGCCTGTCATGGGCCGAGAACAATGCTACACGCATCCAAATCAACTGCACAGTCGATTGGTCGGGCAAGTGCTGGCTAAAGGGTATGAATGATGGTTGTATCGTGGCGAATCTGAGGTGCTAACGTGCGCTAGGAACCATCGAGAAGAATGTCAATGATGGGCAAGGGCAATATTGCAAGGAGCTATTTGCGTCACTCAAGTCTGCAGTTTCGTCCAGGGCTCGATCCGGCACGGCCACAAACGGGATTGTCAAGGGCAAGAAGAAGCTGAAGAGAAGCAAGGCATTACAGGCCGTTGTCGACTTGGAAGCCAGCAAGGGTAGCAAGTCGGACGGCGGGAAACAAAATTGGGGACCCTTGGAACCGGTCCGAAATATACTGGAGCCATGTGTTGATGTGCTTCAGCCCATACATACGGGGAACGTCATGTATGGCTTACTCGTGGGCCTGCTCGTTGCCATGTGGTTTGGCTTTGGGTCTCCGCCGAAGAACAACGCGCCGTTTGGCGCAGATCTTGGATTTTACAGTCACAACCGACAAGCCGCCTATGAGGAGATGTGGCGGCGGCAGGATTCTGAGCTATGGGAATGGCTAGAGGAGCGCGTGGGTATGGAGCGGCTGAGCTCGGATCAGCCAAGTGCGCGAAAGCGAGCGATGGAACACCGGACAGTGGAGGATAAGTTGCGAGAGGAGCGGATGGATGAACGCGAGATCCAAGAAGCCATTCGTGTGACGGAGGAAAAGTTGCGGGTATTGCGAGAGGTTGTTGGAAAGGGAAGGCCGAACTAGGCAATTGTACCATGGTCATCATTGAAAAGCCCCTGCAAGGGAAAACACCTCTACGGAGCATTTACATTTGTACATTACCAGCTACAGCAGGTTGGCGACTAGGCGAATTCTATTTTGTGACTGCGATTTGTTCAATGGATGATGCCCCAGGAAGCGAAGGGGGAAGGAGAAGGAGCCACACGAAGTAGATGAAGACGGCGGTTTGGACGGCAATCCGGTAATGCGGTAATATGGATGTAGGTACGCTCGTGCAGACAGACATTGAAGGGTCCAGGATGGGACTCAGAAACCCCACCGCGTCCCACAAATGGCGCCGAGATTAAGCAAGCGATAAAGTTGACATTACGGCGGCCAAGCCACGGAGGACATGGTCCGAACGGATATTAAGCGGGCTCTCATGATGTATGTAGCGATGTCATGGTGAGGGATTGCAGGAATTGCGAGCGCAACAGGCATAACAGCAGCCCTATGTGGCGGGACTATGCGCTGGTGAAAAGGGAAAAGAGGGACTAGTCAGGAACGCAACGGAGTTTCAGGGCTGAGCTTGGCCTCGCCAGATTTGCGGATGCTGCCGAGGACGCGACGATGAGTACGCAAGCTCGGCCGAATGTGGAATGAGGGTGGAGATGATGGGTTGGGACGTTGGGACTGAGCCACGGTCTGGCCGCAGTTTGAGGGGTGCAGAGACGACGCGAGCTGGTTGCATGCATGTTATGCATGCTTCAAATGTTGCTGAGGCCTTCCTCAGACCTGGACAACCTTGACAAACCCGACAAACCCGACAACCCTTCACAACCCTGAACAGCCTCTGACCTTGAGAGTCGAGTCAAGTTGGTTTGGCCGAAAAGGAAGCAGTCCAAATGACCGTTACCGTGGGCTCAGCCCCACTTGACGTATGGAAATCCAACACGATGGTAGCACGTCCACGTAACTACTCCCCCCTTGATGGTGGTGTTGTCGTCATCACGACCCTATTTTGGTGTCTCCCCGCCGGGGCGGCAGTTTGGGAATATCGTCGTTTGGTTGATGCAAAAAATCCAAGGGATAAGACGGCACGGGTGTCGCGATCCTTTGCAGGACTCCTGCCTGCATCGCGGCGACCATGTATTTGTATACGAGACGGCAGGTTTCCTTTGTATTCAACCGATTGTATGAGCATCAGCATCAGCATCAGCATACAGGAGCGCTGCTTTGTCTCGGGTCCGGTTTATTAGCGTCGCTTTTTGTTCCTTTGTCCGAATTTGCCCTTTGTCGTCGTTTGCCAGTGAGCATGGCCCGAAAAGGAGTTCCCAAGGTTCGCACCGGCTGTCTAACATGCAAGTATGTACAGCATGACCGACGCAAAAAAACATGATATTCCCCTTCCCCCCAGCTAATGTAGCGGTAGAAAACGCAAAGTAAAGTGCGATGAAACACACCCGGCCTGCAACAGATGCACGTCCACCGGCCGAACCTGCGACGGCTACATGCCTCCTCCGCCGGGCTGCATGTCCTGGGACCGTCTCCTCTCTGCGCCTGTTCCGGCATCACCCAGCCCTTGCCCCGAGGCAGACGATCCCGAGCTGCGCGGTCTAGCATTCTACCAGCAAATCGTTGCTCCTGCGCTGTGCGGCCCGCTGGACAGCTCGTTCTGGACCAAGCTGGTTGCGCAGATGGTGCACTCGGAGCCTGCGACGAGGCATGCCGTCCTGGCAATAAGTTGGCTGTATGAGAACTTTGGGGACGGCGTCTCTTCGATGCCCGAAAGGGGCCAGACGGGAGCAGTCGACGCCGGCGGCCATGATTGTGCCATTCGGCACTACAATGCCGCCATCTCGCACTTGATCAGCCCGCAGACGTCGTGCCCTGCCGACCTGAATACCGTGCTGCTCGTCTGTATACTCTTCACGTGTATCGAGTTCCTGCGCGGCGACACCGAAAGCGCAATCAGCCATTCGCAGCATGGCATCTCGCTGCTCAACTCGGGCGCCGACATCAAGCCCGAGCTGGTGAGGGTGTTTCGCCACCTCGGCATCTTTCCCTACTTCTTTGGCGGCGACATTTCCACGTTTCCCGTCTTGCACGATGCCCAGGCCGTCACCATCGGCCTCGGCACCCTGGACGACGCGCTGGAGTCGCTGGACTGCCTGCTCGCGCGGGCCGTCCGGCTCGTCAGGGCGAGCGACCACCATCGCTTGGGGATGGGCGTGCAGGAGCAGCCCCTGGAAGCGGTCCTTGACGAAAAGCGCACGCTGGAGGGAGACCTCGACTCCTGGTGGTCTGCGCTTGACAAGTTGCGACACGGGGGGGACACGTCGGAGCACGCCGGGGCGATGACGCTTCTCGTTTTAGAAATGAGATGGCTGGTCTGCAAGATCTGGGCGAGTACGTGCCTTGCCCTCGACGAGACCATCTACGACGACCACATGGACAAGTTTACGCGCATCGTGGACGTGGCGACTCGGGCGCGGGCACTTGTCGGCGCCTCGACGCGCAACAACAAGTTCATGTTCGTCATGGGGTTCTGCCCGCTGCTGTACTTTGTCGTGACCAAGTGCCGGTTCTTGGGGCTGCGGCTCAGGGCCCTGTCGCTGCTCAGGAAGCTGTCTTATACGCGGGAGACGCTGTGGGACGCGTCGACCTTGTATGCCACTAGCAAGAGAATCGTCGAGATTGAGCATGGCATTGGCGAGTTGACGCCCGAGGATGTCGACGGCGGCGGCATGGGACTGGATCAAGCTGTGCCGCCGGATGAGGCGCGCGTGAGGGATTCCGCCATGGAGGATGGCGATGGCGAAGGGGACGGTGCAAAAAGGAGGGTTTGTTTCTTGGTCCTTGGTCGCGAGGGCATGGAGAGGATGTACGATTGGGTTTGATGTATCATCTTGTAATTGTAATTGTTTTACTTCATCTGGGCTGCAGTGAAGAAATTCCCCAGGAGCTAGTCGTCTTGCTTGATCTACATGGTTGGAAAATGGAAGAGTATCACGGTGAAAGGCAAAAGGTTGATTTGACCCCATCAGGTACCAAGCTACCATGCCCTATACTGCATTCTAATACAGTATATTGTTACATCTTTTCCTATCGGGCAAATCTGCTCTCCGCCACGGACTGGTGTGTGTTGTTGTGGTATATGCGGCCGGTAGAGAAAGTGGCCTAATAAATGCCAATGCTTGAATCCAGAAACACCAAGTCTTCAAGACAACAACGCGTCCTAGAACCGAGGCTAAGCCAACTTGACGGAAACAGAACCAAACCCAAGTCATGGCAACCTTTTGCAGCCGGTGTCAGCCGCGGAGCAGTTAAGCAAAGACGGCCAGCTATTTACATTAGGGCTGCGTTTTTGTGCCTGTAAATAGTGCATTACGAGAATGCAATTAGCTTTGTCAATCTTGCAAGTTGCAACCGTAACCGACGTGCTAAGGGTCCATCCGGCAAATTATGGTTGGCCGGCTCGGACTCGGACATGTTCCTGCGGGTTGGCCGCGTGGTGGCGCGGGAATCAGGAGAGAAGTGCGAGAGCCCGAGTGGGAAGAGTCCGATGGCAGGGGACGAATTGAAGTTGCCAAGTTTGGAATAAGGAGGCATATAAGATGATTGCCTGGGGAAGCTCGCCAAGAGGATCCAAGGCTCCAAGAAGTTCTGGTGCTGCTCCAAGTCGTTGAGTTCCATTCTCTTCCTTCTTTCTTTTGTACGGCATACTTACAATGCTCTTCTTATTTCCACTTTTAACCGTCGTCGTGCCAGCACTGGCCGTTCCTCTCACTACAACTGTCTGACGTATTCCCCCGGGAAACAGGTTCACCAACACCGGCACCAAATTCCAGCTCATTCACGAAAACAGAGTACATGACCATTGACGGCGTCAAAAATTCGGCCCTGACAATTCCAGGCAAGACTATTCCCATTGCCGCTGCTCCGACGTGTGTGCAGACAGCTATCCCCGACGCGAATGGACATATTGCCCCTGGTGAATGTGCTGCCATATGGAACTATTACCCTAGCTTTTGGGCTGCACTCGCTGTGGCCTGCCTGTTCGGGTTCCTAATAGTGGTGCATATTCTGCAGGCTGCCATGTTTAAAAAAGTTTGTAAGTTATTCTCCTGTCATCCGACGCCACAGGCACTTTGAGAAAATGCAGTTCCGGGGCGGCTGATTTTTTTTTAATTTTGCAGACGTGGTGCTGGGTCATTATCATGGCCACTACCTGGGAGATGGCGACCATGATATTCCGTATGTTAAGCTCGAGGAACCAGCAGAGTAGTGGGCTGTATCTCGTTTTCCAGATCTTGGTCCTGCTCGCCCCTATTTGTAAGTTTGGCCCCGAAGCAGCGAGTTGATAAGCAGCTTGCGCTGACATGAGAAACAAGGGTGAATGTATTTGTGTATATGACCCTGGGGAAAATGGTATACTACTTCTACCCGTCTCGCTCGATCCTCGGCATGCCCGCCTCCATCAGCGCCGTCGTCTTCGTCTTCTTCGACATTGCTTCGTTTGCAGTTCAGCTGGCCGACGGAAGCATGGCCGTTCCCACGGCTGCGCGCCATATCCAAAAAAAAGGGCGCTACACATGTATATGCTAGGGATTGGCTTCTAGGAATTCGTCATCATTGCTTTTGTGATCCTGTGTTTGCGCTTGCGGTGGTACATCCGGGGATTGTGTGGGAACGCCGGGTGCTTTAAACGACTTGCGAAATGCGCCTGTGAATTTAGGGGAAAGGAATGGGCTGATGACAGCTATGATGAGGGTGACGGTGCGCGAGAGCGGGAGGTGAAGGCGAGAATGAGCGGTTGCAGCTAATCATTGACTTGTATGCTGCAAAATCTGGACATGACTTGACCATCTGAATATACGTGGCATAGTGATTTCGTCTGCTCTTGGCTGTGGATACTATTCAAAGGCTTGTATCCTCGCAAATAGGTTTTATTCGAGTTAGCCTCCTTCATATTGAATATATTGAGTCGTTGTAACCTAGCGTTTGTTGGGTTTACTATACGAAACTCCCCCCAGCCATGTGTCGTTCTATTATAAGCACATAAGGGGAGGACATCTTGCCAACTATCATTGCAGCTATTCGTGAATATGTTAATGGTAGGAATAGGGTATTTGGCGATTAGTGAGATTTGGCGTTTGCGGCTTCTTGACTGTCGAAAGGATAGACCTAAGACCTGAGGAGGGAACTCTATTGATGGTTTTTGTACCAAGACTGGAAGAAACTAAATAGTTCTTTCTCAGGATCTAGAGGTCGCGCCGGAAATATTGGCTCTGTCAGCCTCTGTGTCTTGATATTTTGCTGCTGTAGCAGAAATGGAACCCTGATTGATGGGTATGATCATTCAGTTTTAGAGAGTCAAGTAGTAAAACCTCGGACTAGTGGCGTTCGACCGTCTTAGCATGCAGCGCGTTTCCATCCATCTCGGCATATATCTAGAGATATTGGGCTTATACCTTGCGTGAAACAATACATCTCACTCAGCCTAGCCGAAGAATACAAGACCCTGTGGGAGGGCAGCGCAACGTACCTAGGCGTGTACTAACGGCAAGCATCTTTTCAGAGTTGATAATACACGTTGCTGCTGGGTATCGCTTTCCACCTGCCAATGTGCTCTGTTCTCTAGTTCTTTGGCCGTCTGATGATCCAGTGGTGTCCAATGTCTTGTGTTGACTTGCGCCATCCAAGCCACTACTTATGGCCTCTGTCTGTGGTCCTTGGCGCGAGGGTGTGTTCCCCAAGCAATATGGCGTTTCTCCGAGAGACTGGTTCGAAACGCCTCATTGCGCATAAGCCTCGGGGAAGTACACGTCATTGTCCTACTGGCTCCCTTTTAGACCGACAAGCATCGGCGTCGTCATTCCTGAGCATCCGTATTGGTGGCGGGCACATAGTACCGACTGTCGATTCATGCTAATTGCACGAAATCCTACAAGATTCGAGCTGTTGAGCGGAAAAGGGCCCAAAAGGAAAAAAAAAGCACATGACTACTATGGCCTCTGAACATAACATCACCTGGTGTGGGAGGGTTATCCCTCCACTCAACCACACACGCCAGCCCAGTTACCTATCCGGTGTGACGCCTGGCGTTTGTGGATGGCTCGATCCCACATTTTCCCCAGGTTTTCATTTGTTGGGCAGCTACTTGTGAGGAGACCTGAGAGTACTATTAAAACATGTAGCCATCACAGCCGTTGCAGGTGGAGCACAGAGAAAGGCTCTTTGCCATGCCGGAAACGGCTTGTATTTAGATGCCAAGTTGCGACAAGATGGGAGCCGCAGTAAGTTTGGAGTAGCTTCTCGGGACGGTACGGCGGGCTCATAGACACGACTCTTCCATCTCCCTCTTAGCTGGCGAATCCATGCCCAGGTCTACGAGTCTGGATTATTCTGTTAGACTACGCCAGCGACTATGGGTCTTTAACTAATCGGCCGAAGCACATCACTCAGCCTCCAAGTGTATTGGCCTGGTCAAGAAGGATCCCATGTTACAACCGGGGGCAAGGAACCAGGACGCGGACCACCTGAGCCAGAAGAGCCCGTCGGCTTTCCGTCCAGAAGCAGCATCAACTCCTGACGAAACGAGCAACGAGGGCCATGACCACGAATGGCGTGGAGTGCCCGCGAGGGCATCTCCCAGGGCCGCCCAAGCAACGACGGGCGATATCCGCCTGTGTAGCACCATTTCCAGCCGCACCATGGACACATTCTGGTTTCCGCAATTATCCCTAGGCTATGATGACACTCCGCGCAAGATCCGGCGCGGCTTCCACTCCGAGAAGGAAATGGTTTTTCTGGCCTGTTGCCGCCAATACCCCAAGGCCGTTGGCTGGACGCTCCTATTGTTTCTTACAGTCGTCATGGAGGCATACGACAAGTCGCTCATATCGGGCTTCCTCGCATTCCCAGCCTTTCAACGCAGGTACGGGCAACCGGAGTCGACACCGGGGACATCTGTGGGTAATGGATCGTACCAGATTCCAGTGCCGTGGCAAATCGGCCTGCACAACGCAGCGTTCGCCTGCGAGATTATTGGACTGCTGACCCACGGATACATTACCTATAATATCGGATACCGAAAGGTCATGATGGGCAGCCTGGTTTGGCTGTGCCTATCTGTGTTCCCTGCCGTTTTTGCGAGAAATATCACCACTCTGCTGGTTTCACAAGCCTTGTGTGGTAAGAGCAACACTTTTCCCCAACCCTCGCCATCGTCCTTATGACCTTTAACACGGCGTTAGAGGAATACCCTGGGGCGTCATTCAGACGCTAGCTGCCACGTACGCAGCTGAGGTTGTGCCCTCGGGCTTGCGGCCCTATGTCTTGAGCAACATTAACATGTGTTGGGTTACCGGGCAGCTCCTGGGAACCGGTGTCCTCCGGGCTTTGGTGTATAACAATTCGGAATGGTCTTATCGGCTCCCGTTCGCCTTGCAATGGGCCTGGGCAGTTCCCCTGCTAATTGGCGTTTACTTTGCGCCCGAAAGCCCTTGTAAGTACCTCGCCTCACTGGAACTTTCCTCTTGCATAGATGACGCGCGTGTGTGAATTGTAATTGACCAACGTCGTTGCAGGGTGGTTTATTCGCCATGAGAGAGCGGCCGACGCCCGGCGGTCTCTTGGCCGACTTTGCAACCGGTCCGGCTCCCACATCGACGACAGTATAGCTCTGATGGAGCACATTAACAGGATTGAGAAGGAGTTGAACTACGGCGGAGCAACGTATTCAGACTTGTTTAAAGGTGTCAATCGCCGTCGCACCGAGATATCGTGTGTGGTCTGGATGTGTCAGGCACTCTCTGGCGGCGTTTTGACCGCCGTCGCAGCATACTTCTTTGAACAGGCTGGCTTCGACCCTTCCGACTCTTTCAGCCTCTCTACTGGGATGTATGGCATGGCCCTGATTGCGGGTATCATTTCATGGGGCCTTTTATTCAAGATAGGTCGTCGAAAACTGTACATTTTCGGCCTGGCGTCGGCGGTTGCGTTCTTGACTGCCGGCGGAATAGTGTCGGTGGTGTCGGCAGGAAGTAACGGGGCTGATTGGGCTTTGGGCGCCCTCATCATCCTCATGACGTTTACCTACGATCTGACCATAGGCCCCGTGTGCTACGTCGTCGTGGCGGAAATTCCATCGACGCGTCTGCGGGTCAAGACTGTTGCTTTGGCCAGGGTGGCATATAATGCCGCCATGATTGTTAACACTGCTCTAGTGCCGAAAATGCTCAATCCTACGGCGTGGGACATAGCAGGCAAATCGTGTTTTGTATACGTCGGCACGGCCCTCTGTTGCCTTGTGTGGTGCTATTTTCGACTACCAGAAACGAAGGGGTTGTCGTATCTTGAACTGGATATATTATTTGAGAAGAAGGCCCCGGCACGAAAGTTCAGCCAAGTTCAGGATAGGCTCGCCAAGTCCGCGTATCTTACTGCTTCACACGCCGAGCGACTCACAGATGCCTGGCACGGGTGGTTAGCGTATTCTTAGTTGTAAGATCAGCAGTAGCTGTACAGCACAAAAATAGAAGGTCATCAAACGTAATTGTTGGAGTTCCCATAATCTACTAAACTAGGTGCGGCGCATGAGCTCAGCTAGTCCCAGTCCCATGCGTTCAACAGTGTGGGATTCTCGAGCTCGGAATGCTTGCTAGGGGAACGTAGCTATCTATAGAAGTTTCGTTTCCACCTTCTGCCACATGTTAGTGGAGTGAATCAGGTAATACTATTAGAGCTATGTATGTAGCCGTGTCTCGCCTTTTAGTTCCTGAATACCGTTTGAAACGAAAATAATGTAATAACTTGACTTCTTCTAGAAGCGGTGAATATGGAAGTAATTAGATAGCAAGCTGCACCGATCCTGCGAGCTTTGAAGTACCGTAAACAGGACCCAGGCGATACCTGAGCTTGTGTATTTGCATCAAAGGTCTGCTGCAAGTGGTAAGGTAGATGCTGCGTAATAAGCCCAGGCTATGGATAGAGTGAAGTCTTCATGTCCTGATTTTTTTTTTAAAAAATTCTTTAACGCGGCTACCCAACATTTTCACACCACTTTTTTCAGTCATAGAATCGTTTTATTTACGAATTCACATGGCACACAACATTAGCCTAGTCATACAGTTTCCTCGACGACGAAACCGGTATACGCATACATTATAGGGGTAGATATATGGGTCAAAGTTGGTATAACTCTGACCTTTTCAAATGTAATTGTAATGGACTGACCACGTAGCTCCATTTCAACTCTTGCTGTCACCCTGTCCTAAATCGTACATTTACATTTTACTGTAGTGACTGCAGGAATACTCATCCCTCCTGTCACTCCAAGTTTAGGTTTAAATACTAAAGCTCTTATGTCTACCTCTCTTGGGGTATGAGGGAAGATTGGTCGGAAGAGGTAAGGTATTTTCAAATACTCCCCTTCTTCGCGAGCAAAATATATGAGATGCGGCAGGGAGACGGATTCTTGACTGTTACAGCAGCCGGCCTGCACCTAAGCATGGAAGCCCAACTTGTCATTTATCATTTAGTTCGTTTCCCGTTGTATATTTTGCATGACAAGCTTACTTCCCGTGTTGCGTTGTTGATAGATGATATCCGACATTACTAAGGCTATAATGTTTACGCCGGGGAATAACATAGGCCAGGGATGTAATGAAGTACCACCTCATGTTCAACAATCAAAAAAGAGCATCGAAATTGCATATTCCAGATGAGCAGTCATCTTTGTATACTAGTCACTGGGACAGTGGTCAAGGTGAAGCGCCCAATCAAGACCCTTGTCCAAATATATGCAGAGTTGCCACCAACACAACTGTCGTCTGCTTCTCCGCATCTTGCAATGTCACCAACGACTATAACATACGAGAACAAGAGAATGGCGGGTGAATCGACAAAAGAGATACTGCCAGTTACAGACCTGGCCCGACAGGATCACGGAAACGAAAACATGACTCTGTGAATGTGGTGCCTTCTACTCGTCCCAGCGGAACATATGAATGAAGAAAGGTAGGAAAGGCATGTCTTATCTGCAGAGCACGAAAGACGAAGTGTGACAATGTTCTCCCTGTCTGTGGATTCTGTAAAAGGACCGGCGGCGAATGCCACTATTCCAGACCTTCTTTACTGAGGCAAGTTGAAGAAAGACCATCTGAGAAGCTCTGGCAGTCAAGGCTGACCGGGCAGTGCAGATTTGATAAAGCGTCGGCATAGGCGTCGATTTCGCGGTTCTGGAACTGCCTCGCAGGGACACGCTTCTCGAACAGTGTATCAATTTCCTCGTAAGTCCGTCCTTTTATCTCGGGCAGACGGAAGAAAGTCCAAACCAAACAAATGCAACAAAGCCCTTCAAAAAAGAAGGCCGACTTGGCGCTCTAGTTCCACTCCTCTGGAATCAACATGTAGGGAACCACAGTCTGCATGACGATGGACAACAAACAATACGTGTTTCGCGCCAGTGCGACCGTCTTGCCTCGCAGCTTTGAGGCACCAACCTCACCCACGATGGTGTAAACGGTCGCGCCGACCGAGGGGCAGTAGATGACGAGGTAGATGATCAACAGTGAGGATTTGGCCCAGTTGGCAGGTTTGTTGGACAGCGGCGGAATGCCTGCAAAGCCGATGGCGAAGTATAAGATGTTCATGCCCAGTAGGCCACCAAAGTAAACTGTGCGTCTCCCAAAGTAATACAGAAGTGGCCATGCAAGTATGGTGCCAACGAACGACGTCGCGTTGTTGCCAATGTTCATCTTAATGCGGCCCCAGTTGAGAGCCCGGCCTGCTGAAAGAAGTAGGTTGTATAGCCTTGCGGGATTCCCAATGAGGGCTTGGATGCCGTACACTGCACACGCAATTTCTGTGCGGCGTAGATCTGTTATCCTGCAGGACGCCGGGTAAGAGCTTCTCGTTTGCGTCTCTGCTTCAAGCTCAATGGTGTGGATCATCATGGCAACGGCTTCTTTTGGAATTGACGCCGTCGTCAGCAAATTTTCTGACGGCCTTTTCAGCCTCGTCCAGGCGCCCTTTTCTGACGAGCCACCACGGCGATTCCGGCGCGAACAGGATCATGATGAAGATGGGCAGCGGCCTGGCCCACTGGACGGCCAAGATGATCTTGTACGCCAGCTTGGTCGTGATTTGCGAGACCGAGTATGTTACGCCGGCGCATACAAACTGACCCATGACCCAGCATAGACATACGTGGTCAGGTTAGCACGCAGTACGACTGGGCAAATCTCGGCCGCGTGGGTGTTTGTCGATGCCTGGAACACACCAATGGGGACATTTGCCATCATTCGTCCGGCAAGCAACACGGGAAGGCTCTCGACAAGGAACTGGCAGAAGATGGTGGCAGTGAGTACGACGAGCGACCCCAGCATCACGAGCTTGCGCCCAATACGCTCGGAGAGATAAACATCCAGAAAGACACCAACGGTGTTGCAGAGAGTGCCGGTTATGCCAAAGAGAGTCTGCCATGCTGCTGTTACTTGGTAATCATCCCCGAACGGCTTTCCAAACTATCTTTGAAAGGCAGGTTCGGCATAGAGGGTGGCTGTGAAGGCTGTGTCATATCCATCCATGACAATGCATAGAGAGGAGACGAATGTTCGAAAGACAGCCTTGCAGTATCTCTTGACACCCTCCCAAACCGCAAGCTCATGCTCCTTGTCGCATTCAGGCATCGACAACCATGGTGAGGTAGTTGTAGCTGCCGCCGCCCTTGAACTCCTCATGTCCAGTGCCATCTTTATGACCGGCATGCTCGATATCAGCGCCAGGAGCACGCTTTTCTGCCGTACTATCAGCCATGATTATTGTCGTGACTCAAAGAAAAGACAACGTCACGTCTCCATGTTCACATACTTCTTACCTGCTCAGGGGCACTATATATGCACTCGCCGTTATGTCCTTATGGTGACACCGGGCATCCCAGCTCGACTCGTGCCGGATTTGCTCCCGACATTCCCCGCCGAAGAGGTTGGTGAATTACTGAGCTTTGGGCATTCTATGAAACGTTCGCGTATGGCGACCACGTGGTATCTTTGGCCGCAGCTTCCAGGTTGAAATCGTTTCACGTCAAGATGATAAATAACCGCGTCCAGGCCACTGATTAGTCAACAAAGATTCATCCCATCCCCCGTCCCTGGTCAATGATACGTTACGGAAAGCTTCTCTGGTATACATTCGTACACTTGTTGACCCGCCGCCTCAAAAAAAACCGTGGTCAACTGGAAGCCACAAACTACCAACGGGTTTGTAGCCGTCTTATTATGAGTCAATCTTAGTCAATGGTACTACTGCTTCTACTGGGAGGGTAATGTTGGGGTGGTACGCCATGTCGTGAGACTTGACGAGTAACTTAAGACATTGAGCCTATCAAGGCATCGAGTGGGAGACCTACATTAACCAACGTCTAAAAAACCACCCCCAGACGCGGGAAGAGCCATGTATGTCTCAGGTGTGGGGATTGTCGGGTCATTCTGCCGACATTTGGGCTTTGGTGAACAACCCTCTCGACAGATGTGCGTACTACCGCATTCCCATCTGCTGCCACAGCGAATCTGAGGCTTGCTTCGAGGTAGCACTACTCGTATATGATCATATATTAAGCGGTATCGCCAGTAACATATGGAACATCAGGGAATTCGACTGTAGCACTTATGCTGCCTCGACTCCTGTACCATGTCCTTTGAACCCGCGCCCATTGAGTGTGTTGGCGTCAGCTCGCCATTCTATTGGCAGATTGACGAGCGAATGCGCAAGACTACGCTACCAGCCATCCTTGATTCCTTAAAAACCACCGGCCGCTTTTACGCGCTATCATGGACTCCAGAAAGCGCTCCGACCAAGGCTCACTGTTTCTGGGACTCAGATGTCTATAAGACCATGGAGGCTTGTTGTTATTACTTGATTAAAGACGATGATGCCCAGATACGTGCCGATGTAGAGGAGATTGTAGGATATATCAAAAAGGCCCAGTGGGAAGACGGGTTCGTGTCAGCATAGGTCAAAAGTTGCCCGGTCGCGAGACTCACTGATAGAAACAACAGATATATCAACTCATATTTTACGCTGCATGACCCAAAAGGACGCTTTACCAACCTGCGGGACATGCATGAGCTCTATTGCATGGGTCATCTCGCCGAGTTTGCCGTTGCCTACTACCAACTCACGGGCTCGCACGATCTCATACATGTCATGGGAAAAGCGAGCCAACTAGTACGCACGGTGGTACTTCCCAAAGGAGGATACCCGGGACATCAAGAGCTGGAGATTGGACTGCTCCGGCTTTAGAGATTACTCGGGAAGAGGTTTTTCTTGACACGGCTGGGTTTTTCCTCCGTGAACGGAGCAAGAAGGATGAGAGGGGACGCATATATTACGACCGCGAGGCTTTGGCCAGAGACGAAAATCCCTTCGACTCTCCCAGCGAAATGCTAAGACGTCGCTTTAGGAGTACCCACGACTACTCCTACATGCAGGCGCATATGCCACTTGTCGATCAGCAGACCATCGAAGGTCACTGTGTCCGAGCAATGTATTTTGTCACTGGAGCAGCACACTATGCTTTTGTAAAGCCTTCCGAAACGAAGGATATTCAGGATGCCGTCCAAAGGCTGTTGAACAACGCAGTCAAACAGAAGATGTACGTTATTGGCGGCCTAGGTAGTGTCGCCGAGTATGAAGGATTCGGGCCAGGTTACCACCTCCCGGACCTGCAGGCCGGAGGAGGCTGCTACTCTGAGACTTGTGCCAGCGTCGCCCTCGTTTTCCTCTGCGAGCGTCTGCTTCAAAGTTGCCCAAACAGATTGTACGGGGACGTTATGGAACGTGCCTTATTGAATTGTGTTTTGGGAGCCGTTGGATCACAAGGTAGACCAACCATTCTCCATTCTTTCGAGAGTATGTGCCAACTTTGCGTTTAGGAGCAGAATTTTACTACGAGAATCCTCTAGCGACCGTTGCGGGCCAGCCATGGTGTCGGAAGAAGTGGTTTGAAACCTCCTGTTGTCCGCCGAATGTTGCAAAACTAATGGGCATGTTGCCATCGCTCATATTTTCCACTCGGGGCTCCACTGTTGCCATTCATCTGTTTATAAGCTCGGTTCTGACACCAGAGGTGGATGGCCACCAAGTTCAAGTGACGATGGAAACACCTCTACCTTGGGAAGGCACCGTGAAAATAACTGTTGACTGCCAAAAGGAAGCTGAGCTAGCAATTCGTATACCCGACTGGGCTGCTACTGGATACACGACCTCAGCTAAAGGCCATGTTCGGGAAGGGTACTTTTACGTTTCGGTCGTTTCGTCGTCCGAAATACAGCTATCCTTTCCCACGCAGCCCAAGATGGTGTATGCTCACCCCGGCACTAGGAAAGACGAGATAGCAGTCACCCGTGGGCCAATTGTCTATTGTGCCGAGAGTCCCGATAATGATGTTGATCTGGAAACCACGTACGTGGATTGACGTCTCTCCGGGAAGTCAAAGAGCTCGAGATTGCCGGGTTGAAGGGAGTCCCGATGATAGAACTGGACTCCAGGGTAAAGGATAAAACAAACGACGCTTTGCATGGTTGGGATGATTCGGGGTTAACAGTTAAAATGAAGTCTTTAAAGTTGATACCTTTTTTCCTAAGAATGAACAGGGCGGAAGTGGCGCGATGAGGGTCTGGCTCAAGAATAGGGTGTACAAACGGGTACCCGTGGGCACCCGTGGGTATCCAAGTTTTTCTTGGGTTATTCGTGGGCTACCTATTTTATTATGTAAGTAATTTAGGTATACTATAAGTAACCTAATATAAAGATAAGTATACTATAAATACCTATAAACGTATAATAATATAATAATTAACTGTAGTGTAGTTTTATAGTTTTATAGTTTTTATAGTT